GGGATTGTTGGCCATGACACAGGGAGAAACTCTTTTCTCTTTAAATCTTTACAACTCTAAATATTTCTTGTTGAAAGGAATACTGATGCCCGAGATGACTTCAGAACACACTGGTGCCTCAGCTCTCAGGTGTTCAAGCCTAATGATGAGGTCTGTTTGGACCATGCTGTAATTAATGAGTTTTAGCCATAAAACATATCTGTATGTAAAGGCAAAATCAATATTCTTTGGTCACCAAGACTCTGCATGGGGAACAAAAGCTTTAGACATATAGCCATTTTCATGGAGCTTCCAAATCTGAATATACTGCTGAGACCCCGTGTGGTACAACACAAGGACACTGTGACCGAATTCAGTGAGCAACACTCCACTTACAGTTCATTTTCTGAACACAAGGACCAGAGTGCTCCCATTAACTATAATGGGAATTATCAGCCCGGTAAGTAAAAATCAGGATAGTACCTCCCGGGAGACCAGGTTTAATTAAGTTGCCACGTGATCCTTAATGATCGTTCATCCAACGCGGTCAGTGATTAATCAACGGCTTGGGTAGTAATTGAGTAGTGGAACAGGGCAATGTCCCCAGGGACACAAGACATAAAAGTCATGGGTCAATGATTTCTTTCCTGTGGCGGTTCATTCCTCCTTTGATAGTCCTCCTCGAACTCATAGGTTACCAGTGTCAGAGTAAATGACTTCATACCAGCTCTACATTTACTCGCAATTAAACTGGTTGAATAGGTAATGAATCCATTGTAAAGTACATGCTAACCCTAACCCTAAGCTCAGTTTCAAGGGATCAATTAGGAACTGACCATTCCTACTGACGCCTTCTTACTATAATAGTATCTGATGAAGAGAAACTCTGATAATAAATGATAATAATAATAATCATTGCATTTGATACAGCACCTATAATGTCGCGCTTCACAGGCCATTGACATCAAGTGCAATGACCGTCAATTTGTAGGCAAATAGTGTCTCTAAACACTATGGTTCTGAATTTTCCCAACAAGGTTTTAGGATTCTTCAAGAAGCCAAAGACAGACACTGCCTTCCTCTATTGCTCATCCGTTGCTAACACTAGTGATATCATTTCTAAAGGAGATAACGATCATCAACACACCATGACTGGCATCTGCGAACAGCACGTGATAGACGCCCTTTCTCTAATTGTCATCATTGGATGGTTGACTCAAAATCCGAGTATGGACATGGATTTCTACGATAGCATTCCCAACCCTAACAGAGTCTGTCACAGACTGCAAACCTCACCCTCCACTGAAAACCAAGACACCGTCTCACCAGAGATGTGCAGAGTTACTCAAAGAGCAGGGGCTATGGTTACATTGATGCTGGGGTGAAGCATCTGTCTACTAGCGAGTGTCGGAATTGTCCTGTGTGAACTTTGTGGTTATGGCACATAAAGTCAGCCTCCATTCACAAGACACTGACCAATTGTTAGTACCCAAGGTACGACATTCTCAGTGACACTGTCTGCCACTCCTTAACTGTCAAAGGATGTTAAAGAACTCAAATCGGAATCAAAATGCCACATACACGAGGAACAAAAGGCTTTAACTGACATCCCTTTAAAAATAGCATTTACTCCCACAGGATTGATCTCGTGTTTAAAGCTTCTTACCAACTTCCACCAGGGAGTCAGATTTCAGTTTGGGAGTCAAAACGTTCTCAGATGTAGACCTTATTATAAAAACCACCAAGGAATTGAGCAACAAATTACACTTGTATATCACCCTTCCCATCGGAAAGACGTCCCATGGTGCTGGACAATCATGGGTTTTAGACCCCAGCTGGGAGTTGGGGTCAGGAGGGGTGGAGGGCACCATTTACAATGCCAACCCTCCTTGCTGCTCAAATATTTTTGACAAAATCAAAAGGACTATATAGATTGGACCCTGTGGGACTTCCGTTTAGTTTTGAAACATTCATTCTCAATTGATCTGGAGCAAAGCAAAGGGTTGAGCTGCAAAAACGGATCCACTCTCCTGGTCAAGTTGGGAAATCAGGTCAGGACACTGAACGAATCCTACTACGCTGTCAGGCCTCAGGCTGACGAGGGGGCCAGAGCTCGCAAGTGAAGAAATTAATGGAACGTTTATATTCTGGGCGATGTGTGGGGTGGTGCAAATAGGAGACGGGGCTTTGTGACATTTAATTGGTTTGGATAGAATCCAAGTTACTGCTTTAATAACTGTTGAGGTGTACCAGTCTGTCTATTGCTGGTGATTGTGAGTTAACTGAAGCTTCCATGAATGACACATTTAGAGGGTGACTCCAGATTGGCGAAAATGACTGATTTAGTGTAAGATTTAAACGCTTTATACACAATACTAACACATCTCTTCGCCCACAAATACTCAGTAAATTCACTTTACAATATATTTTGTGAAGAGCTTTGAGATGTCTAGAAGACGTGAAAAGCGCTATATCAAATGCAAGGATTATTATTATTATTATTCTGTTCAGATCTCCTGAAGATCAATTCCCTTGAGTTCTCTTATTGTAACAGCAATTTGTACAACAGAACCCATTGTGACACCGCAATCAAATCCGGAAACGTGTGAATCAATTCTCTAATCCAGATTAAGCAAAGCACGCAAATCAAATGCGTTCAGCCTTCCTGATTTCCTCATTGTGATTCACAACCTCGTCGCTCCATAATCTTCTCTGTTGCCCTCTGAGATCACCCACAAACGGGATGATGCCTGTCTTGTACACAAATAAACTAAAATTGTAAAGAACAGCTTCCCTCTGAAACAAACACTTATGGAAAAAGACAGCCCTTCTGATGGTGTATTGTACGAACGATTTTTCTCCAGTTACCCATTATCATTGTCAGCGTTCAGTGTCCTTAGAACAGTGTGTGAGCCAAGGGGTAAACATGAGCGTTTCACGAAAACACAGCGGAGCTAATCACGTCAGTGCACACTGGTGCAACACAACACAAGGCAGTTGAGTCCAAATTCATTAGGATTAGGATTAATGAGTCAATGTCACGGTACAGCTACTGACACCAGGATCAGTCAGTACTGTACACAGTGCTGATGTGCAAGGTTCAGCCCATGTGATTAGTGCTATTTAGCTCTCGAAAGCTTCATTTAGCAATCATGCCCCGCAAATGAACTCCAAGCAGAATCCAACGTCAGACAACCGACATCTGAATTCTTACTTCTTTAAGAATTATGTCATTTGAGGCCATGCTCAAGTTCATCCTAAATTTAGCTTGTGAAACCGTAATAATCCTTGCATTTGAAAAAGTCTTATCACGTCGTTGAGACGTCTGAAAGCGTTTCACAGGATATACTGTAAAATAGATTGACTGTGTATTTTGTGGGTGAAACACAGCAGCCAATTGCGCACAGCAGTGTCCCACAAACAACCATGGAGTTGAGTGACCAATTTTATTTGTGGGATTGTTAGCCAGGATTTTTTTTTAAATTTTGGTTTCGGACTCGGTTCGAATTCCGGATACCTGGAGTTCGGTAAAATGGGAAGGGGGTGGGGTAGGGTGTGGAGGTGGGGGTACTGTATATAATATGGTATATTCACTGTGCAAAAAGAGACAATAAACTACTATTGAGAGATAAATCTGACAAAAGGGGGATAATTAAAATGTTGCTGATGCCGCATGCAGAAAGCCCTTCTGGGTAGGATTTTGTTCTTATGCAACCTAATCCGTTGAGTCATACAGTGATCACCCACAGATGGCAGACTCTTGCCGACCCAATAATTCTGTGTGAGATTAATCTGTTACTCTAAGGAGTGCATCAGACTAATCCCCTGTGTGGCTCGTGGGCTCAGGTGTTTAAACCTGGCAAGGATGGCGGGGAAAAAAAGGATGCAATAGAAGATAGCCCAGACAATCAGTCTCCTGTGACCTGCGATGACATAAATCCCTGATTAATACAACGTCTCCAAACATACGGTCCGAGAAATGGAAATTTCCATGCACACACACGTCTCCGAAGCTCAAAGTGATCAGATAGTTGCAATTTACACCATGTAGCTTTGCGACTGAAGGCAAATCTGATTTGAATCTTGTACTCCTCCTCAATGGTACATTCCCTTTTAGAATAGACCCCTTTTTCTTTCTCACTCCTCTCCCCTTTCCCGATGCTTTTTGACTCCTTCACTATTAGTTTGATTTTGTTTAGTCTGATTCAATCCATAACTGTTTGTGGGACACTGCTGTGTGCAGTTGGCTGCAACGTTTCACCCACAACATATACAGTCAATTCACTTTACAGTATATTGTGAAGCAATTTGAGACATCTCGAAGACATGATAAGGTGCTATTTCAAATGCAAGGATTATTATCCACGCATGGATCTACGGCTGACACTCTAGTGCAGGTCTGAGAGAGCACTGGATATTTAGAGGTGCCATCTGTTGGTTGAGATGTTAAATCTGAGTCCTCTCTTTGCATTGACAAGAGAAGATTCTCCCATTGGCTATTATTGGTGCAAATCAACATGTGGAGAAATGGAAATTTTATATGGTTTCATCCCCATCCAACTCCATCATGCGGAAGCTCTCGCTTAACGTTGCTAAATCAGCTTCTCCATCATATGAAACATCGCAGTGACGTTATTCAAGCTATTTAAGGGCCATTAAAGTAATAAGCTGCACATAGGATGGAAACTCCAAAATTGTTAAAGCCCCAAAGCAGAACAGTCCAGCCACATTCAAGCCCAAGTGGACAAGAATCTGCAGCCCTTCACCTGGGGTAGCGTCCTGGAGCAAACCCACCTCAGATACCATCAAAACCACTTCAACAATCGATCATTGATTTGAATGTTGATTGTGGGACTTTGCTACGTGCAACTTAGGTGCCGTGTTTGCCTACAAAAACAGCCACTACATTTGACAGTAATTACTTGTCGAGTGTTTTGTGCGGTTTCAAAGTTATTGGCGCCATATGAAACCAAACAATGGCAAATAAAAAAGGCTTGGAGGCGCTCTTGGTGATTTCTGACCTGCTCGTCTACTTTGTGAGCGATGATTGTGGCTCCTTCCTCCACTTCGGCCTCATTGAGGGGCCGGATACGAAGGGCCACCTGCACAGAGTAAATGGAAAGATATTAACCTTACACAGAAGATAACTGTTAGCCAGACAGAAAGACCAGGTTTTCTAAAACTCTAGAAACACAACTGGATTGCACAGTCTGCAGAAAATAAACAACCTTGAGTATTACCATGGAACCCATGTATTTGTGTAACAAAGCCATGATCTTATTTGAATTAAATATATTAATAATAATAATAATAAGTGCATTATCACATCATCGAGACTTCTCACAGAATATACTGTAAAGTGAATTGACTGTATTGCATTGTATATTTAATCGAACTGCTTTACTGAAATCCAACACAATTGAAGAATTGCATGGGATGCACAAATTGCCTCATAGCAATTCACGATCAAAGTTGCTGGATAAATCCCGTAGAAACCCATACATCCAGTAACCCAACCCAACACTAACCCATCATGGAAATAGCAGCCAGTCCCACTCTGCTTTCCTTTCCATTCTCAAACCGAACTAAAACAACACTGAATGACTGTACCTTTACATTACACACCTCCATACCAGCCACCAAAGGTGCACTTTGACGTGTCTGTAATGCACTAAATCAACCTAAGTAAACCTCAAAAAAGTTAAGAACAAATTTTGAGGAACCACTGTTCAAATAACACATCTCACAAGAAAAACAGCTAATTCTCCAAACATTAGACTGATGTTGGTGTACACAACTAGCCTGGAAACCATATCCCTTGTGAGCTAATAGTTTAGTCTCCTGAGTCTAATATACCAGATTATTAATTTCCCGTCTAATATTGGCTACACAGTGTGACAGAGAGGATTCACATCCTCTCTTAGTTTCCTCTCTTACTCCTCTCTTACTCGCTTGTGTAATGTAATGAGCTTTAATTCATTAAATTACACAAAAGAGGTGGATTTACCAAAATAATCCATAATTCTTTTAGATATGCAACTAATTGGGATGTTGCTTTTAAAGAGCATTTTCCAGAGAGAAAGAACAGATAATTAATTGCTAGCATATTTCATTTGTAAATTACACTTAAGAAGTTCCCACTAAATGGAGGATTTCATTCCACTAACATGACCCAAAAACAAGGTTCTTTACTGAACCACATGAACCTGAGTATTGAGATAAAATAACCCTGAACTGCATCATTAGGATGTGCATTTAAACAAACCAGTCATTTATCCCACCAATGTTCATTATTCTGCACTTTTAATTGCAACATATTCATTGAAGTACATATTAGTTAGGAAATAAACATTTATGAGATGTACGTAGACGCAGGCTTGTTTTCACCTTTCGGGTAAGTGAGTCTTTGCCAATTGATTATAACTAACAAATACAAATGTAAATGAGAAATCCATTTAGCCTGCAGTGAGCTACTATTGGGAATCACTGCAGGTCAAAGATGCTGGATCCAATTGTGCAGAGAATGTTCCAAGGCAAATTCTGCTTGCTAACACTAACACTGCAAAACACAATTGCCGAGGATGGCTTTTAAATAATTATAACTCAATTTATGATCACATATCAAATCCCTCCACTCGGCGAATTGTGACCTGCTCCGAAATACACCACCCTGCCCACCCCACCCTTTGGAACTCCATTCCACAGTCCCTTTGCCTCACCCCCTCCCTGTCTCCTTCAAGGCCCGTTTCAAGACCCACCTCTTCGGCCACGCCTTCGGTCACCCACCTAACCTCACCCTTCCTGCCCTCCACCCCTCCTGATCCCAACACCCAGCTCGGGTGCAAATCCATGACTCTCCAGCGCTTTGGGACATCCTCTTGGCATTTAAGGCGCTATTCAAATGTAACTTGTTTGTTGTTGTGGTCATTGCTTTCAATGAAAGATGCAGATTAACTAGAATGAACTGGGGGACAAAACCTTACTGTGTAAAGCGCTGGCCGTACTTTTGATTAGGAAGTTGTGTCCTGTTTATGATATTTCAAACTCAGATAGGTTGCCAAAGATGAGGCAAGCATCATCTGATCACAATGTTTTTGTGTTGTGGTTGCAAATCAGGGCAAATTACGTCTCTATACAATGCGCTTGTAAACAAGCAGCAAAAGGTCTGGAAACACTTTCATTGATGTACAATGACAATGTCAAAACATTCAATTTGCCTTGGACAAGGCTGGCCTGCTAACTCAACTCCAAAACGAACTGCTCGAGGAAACCACGCAAACACAATAATGGGCTAAAACCGACTGAGCATCAAATGCTTTCAAATGTAAATAGCACTGAGTGTACGGTAAACTCCTGTTAACTCATCACCCCCAGGTTTTGTGGATCACAGCAGCATTTGTAAATGCGTGGAGTGTTTCCATAAGGTTCGAACACACGGTTGCTCTCACAAGAGTGAGAGGTGAATTGGGTCCATTGGGAATTGGAAATTGGGAATTAGAATCCAGCTGAATTGGGGACCTGTGAACCTTTACACTCCCACATCACCCATCCACACAGAACCTATTTCGTGAGAAGGAATGAGAGAGAGGAGTGCAGAGCATTAAACTAGTCGGGGTTTTTTTTTTTGGAAAAATCATCCGCTCCGCCCCGTTAAAACCATTTTGTCTTAGAACTCAAGAATGGTGCAGAATCGTGGAAAATTCTTCAATTGTTAAATTCAGCCCGAATTTGGAAGAAGCCGTTTCTGAACAAGAGAATCTTCCAAGATTCTGCTGGACTTTAAATGTTAAGACAATTTGATCTTACAGGCTAAGACCGGGTGGAATTATGGTGTCTGGTTGTCAAACAGCACTGATAAGAAAAATGCAGATGAAAATTTAAGCCCGCAACTAATAAGTTGTCAGGTCATTTAAATCTAAACGTCAGAGTAAAATCACATCTCTATATGTTCCAATATTCACCTTCTTTGTGAAAATTCAGGAGATTTCCCACCGTATTCAATCACCCAAAAAACGAAAGTGTTTTGAATAGGAACAAAATGAAGAAGCATTGTCGATTTGAAACATCTCCCTGACACACACAAAGTTTTGCTCCACCCCACGCACCATTGCAAGGCTTCTTTGTGTCCTACAGTACCAACCTTGCTTTGTGGGACAGTACTGTACATACTTGGTATCAACGGATTTCTGAAATCCATGTAAACAATTCGCCAATTTCCCGGTTATTTCACCCAATAAATACACAGTCAATCCAGTTTACAATATATTCTGTGAAGCGCTTTCAGACGTCTCAACGATGTGATAAGCCACGATGTCAAATGCAAGGATTATTATTATTATTATTATTAGTGCTGTAGAATTACAATCCAGCCAAGATAGGTTAGCATCTAAAACCTCCCAAATAATTATAGTAATTAATGCACGGTGCGATGCAATGCAGCGGAATTATACAATCGAATAATAACCCTTGCATTTGATATAGCGCCACAGCACTTCGTTGAGACGTCTCAAAGCTGCTTCACAAGCTGTACAGTAAAGTGGAGTGACTGTGTACAAATTCGGTTCACACATACAACAGCTTCGCAGTCTCTACATTTGGTCTACTTTTTCTTCCCTCTTAAAAACAGGGAAAGAAATTGCTATTTAAAGGTCAGTTGCTTTGCCAAGGTGTGTGTTTTTCTCTCTCTCTCTCTGTGTGTGTGTGTGTGTGTGTGTGTGTGTGTTTGTGTGTTTGCTTAATACTTAATGCCTTGCAAAAAAAAAATTCACCAAAGAACTTACTGTGAGCTGTTGGTCTTTGGATTCCCCTCCGTCCTTCATGTTTGCAGGCAATGGGTGCAATTGCACAGCACCTGCAGCATGGCAAGAGGTCCCAGAGACAGAGAACACACCAGCATCACACACCCACACACACACACTCACTGCCACACTCACTGCCACACTCACACACACAGTGACTGAGCATCTGTCCCGTTTAAAGCCCACATCCTCTCTTCCTCTCCTCTCCCTACCTCTTGCTCTGGGCTCAGCTGAGCTGTGGATTTCACACTCAGAACTTTTGCTTTTAAAAAAAACACACACACAGACACAAAGCTCTCTCTCTCTCTCTCTCTGAAAAAAAACAAAGAGCTCAAGCTGCAAATTAATCCTGCAGATTTTTTTTGTGTGTGGTGTGTGTGTGTGTGGGGATGGGAATTGTTGAAAACAATATAAAAATATGTAAATAATAAAAAAAAACCTTATTTATAGTCTGTGTGTGTTTTTTTTTCTGTAGGAAGTCAGGATCCAAGCTGGTGTCTGGACCTGCTGTTCTCTTTGTCTCTCTGTGCAGCTTCTCTGGTGTTGTTTGCATGTATGTTATGTATGTATGTATGTATGTATGTGTGTGTCTGTCTGTCTGTGTGTGTGTGTCTGTCTCCTTGTATCCTGGAGCCCCAGAGATTTTCAATCAAATTCCTTCCACAACCACCCCCAGAGCTGACTGTGACTGTGACTGACTGACACACGATCAGTCAAAGGATACATACACTCAAGGGAACCACCTACTGGCAACTCGCCACGTCTGCAACCGAGACGCTATGTCAAGGTTATACAATCATACTTAATTCTTGGATTTTTAACGTAGCGCCCTGATCGGGGCGTCGAGACGTCTCGAGGTGAATTCACGGTAGCCCGTCGGGCGAATCGACTGCGTATTTTTACCGGCAAAAAAACACAAACAAAAGAAACGCGGCAGCCAAATTTGTCCCCCACAAACAGTCGTGGATGGAGCGCGGCTTGAAATAGCGATCGGTGAACAATGTTCCCTTGCCCACCCCCCCCCCCGCCACCGCCACCCCCCGTTACCCGCCTTCCCACCCCGACCCCCACCCCACCCACCCCACCCCTCCGCCGCCCACTCAGACAAACTCAAGATCAGGTGCTGCCAGAGATGGAACGAAAGACACGTTAATGATTCATGCAATCTCGTGTAGTGCCTTAGCACGCTGTCGGAAGTCTCAAAGGACTTCACTGCAAAGTGTAGTGACTGTGTGTGCTTGCAGGCAACGTGTTGCTCTTTGGGTCCCGCGTACGTTGCTTTTAATGAGCATTGTATAGTAGCAAGGAGGTGTTTATAAATAGAAGCCTGTGCCTTGCCACAGACCTACCAATTTACCGGATCCCGAGTTGCACGACTGTGTTACATTCCAGCAGTTTTAATAATGCCGTGCACTGTGGGACCAAGGCTTGAGCAGTTACCTGTGTTATCAAAAACCCTTGACTGGCTTGTGTGCGTGCAATGCTTGGGCAAGTATTCATTTCACGCTATAATATGCTGCTGGGTGCATTGGATCACTGCAGACAGAAGGACTATGGTACCGGCCTTATTAATAACAGCAAAGGCATACACGATACGTTATAATAATTATTACATTATAAGTTATTTAATGTTACCGTTGCTGTTACTAATAATGCCTTGCTCAGTTATTATTACTCAGTGATGATACCATTTCGTCAACAAACTACATCTCACGCTTTGAGACGGCTCAATGATGTCAGAAGCCTGGAACAAATTCACCTTCTGGTTCTCTTATCCTTCGGATGAGATGTTAAACTGAGATCCCATCTGCCTGTTTGGTTGGATGTTAAGGCGCTATTCAAAAAGAAAAGAGAGATTCTTCCCGGTGTCCTGGCCAACAATCCCCCAAATAAAATTGGTCACTTACTCCGTGGTTGTTTGTCTGACATTGCTGTACACAATTGGTTGCTGCGTTTTGCCCACAAAATACAGTCAATGCATTTTACAGTATATTCTGTGAAGCGCTTTGAGACGTCTCAACAATGTGATAAGGCGCTATATCAAGGATTATTACTTTTTATTATCCTGCAAATATTATGTGGTATGTTGCATGTGGGATATAGAACCAGTTCGGATATAAGATCACAATGATAACTGAATATTCTGGCTCTTTCTGGTGCTGATCTGCCTGCAGTGCATTTCCAGCACTTCCGACGTTCACAATTTCCCTTTTCAACCATTATTAAAAGAAACTTGTTTTTCATTTCAAAAATAAAATGTACTTGTTTTTTTTTTAGAAAACCGTCAGACCAGAAGTTACCATTACCTCAAGGGGTAAAATGAAACTTATTTAATTGCGCGAGGCAAGTGTTGGAGATGTTGCAACTGTTTGTTTCCAAGCTGTTAATTATCCTTTCTGAGACAGGACAGTGCTGAATCTTAAGCTGTATTAAAAAAAATAATGATCCACGAGATGAGACTTCCTTGTAGAAAACCAATAACACTGAGAAAAGCACTGCAGGGTCTTTCAGAGATTCATTATTCCGTTACTCGTGAAAGCCAAGGTGAAGATGTGTAAACAAGGACACTTGCAAATGATTGTAGCAGTAGAGCTTTCACATGACTCTCAGGGTACTGCGAGCGGGACCAGCTCCCAGCTTTATCTGCAGGAAAGTACAACCGCAGTACGTTGTGCATTTTATGGCCTTGTTTACTGCACTTGAGGGAATGTTAAAAAGAGCTGCCTTTCACAATTTGCTATCGGGGCTGGTAAAATAAACAGCGTTGAGATTTCGTTGCCGCTGATTGCACCAGATTAACTCGGTGCAATTTCTTCCATAAAGGGAAATAATTCAGCATCTCTGCTGTCTCACCTTCACGGTGCCTGTCTGCGTCTCCGACCTCTGCTTTCTCTGCAGGTTCTCTCGTTCGCAGCTGTGAATTCAGCCATTTCCCAGGGAGAGTGCTCGGTGCAGTGAAGCACACAGCAGCACTGGTCGTGCCAAAGTGTAATGGGAATAGCCACCTGAATCAGCATCGAACATCGAAAGCAAATCTTGAGAGAAGGTTAAGGCGATTCACTTAACAAAGCATATTAATTCTTTACAAAACGGCCTCCTTTTATGCTGTAAGATTCTATGATTCCATAACAGCCGTCATCTTTTTGTCACAAACCCTGCATCGGAACTTTCAAATTATAGGCTGATATTATCATTAACGCCATCATTATTAAGCCTCCCTCACGTAGCACGTGCACAACGCACAAGAAAATAGACATCCTTGTGACACAGTATTGAAATGAAAACCAAGGCAAATACAACAAGAAGTTTATTGCGAAATTAATGAGGTCACAAACTTTAAAAACATCTCATACTGCACGAATATCCCAGTGCTCTCTTACTGTACAGGTGGCAATATCTAATTCCACCTCGACGTCGGTTGCTTCAATATTGAAATGAATTGGTTTATTCAGTTGGAATTCCAGCCTTTGGTTGCTCTGTATCTTCACATCTGAAACAAAATATATTTTGAAAGGATCATACTTCATATATTTGTTTATTAACAAATATTAACAAAACCTTGGGTAAGTTTCCTTACTCCACATACCTGATAATAATCCCTCGTGAAAAAAAACAATAATTTGGTCACTCAATCCACGGCTGTTTGTGGGACACTTGCTGTGCGCAATTGGCTGCCGCATTTTGCTCACAAATATATAGTCAATTCACTTTACAGTATATTCTGTGAAGCACTTTGAGACATCTAGAAGACGTGAAAAGCACTATATCAAATGCAAGGATTATTATTATTAAAAATACAGATTTTATTTAATAAGATTGAACCTTAACGCCTCCGCAAAATTAATGCCTACGCAAAGGCCCTGCAAAAACACCATAAATAACTAAGATGATTCTCTACAATACTATGACTGAAATAATTTACTCATCCATACTCAATTACATTTTGTTTTCAACCTTCAGTGTCAGTCGCTCAGAAATAGCCTCGAAGAAGCTACGGATGTGGGAACCTGGCTGGGCTGTGGGAGTAATCGCAAACTTGCTTTGAACTCACTTAAATTCGAACGGTTTTGAATGATAAATAATTCTTGCATTTGATGTCGCCACTTAGAACATTGGTGAGTGTGCATTCGCAGCCAATTTGCATAGCAGACAGATTTCAAAGGCCCTGCAAAAACAACAGGGGCCAATTTAAGCGGAGTCACCTCAGTGGAACGATTTTTCCCACCAAACCTTTTCCCCATTGTTAAAACCAGACGTCCTCTGTGTGCTGTTAAAACGGAACGTTTCACTCAAGATATGTGTGTGTGCACGTGCGGGGGTTGGCAATGGTGGGTAAGGAGGGGGTTGTTAAGCAGATTCCCTCCGCTATGAAGATGGGCCACAATTTAAGTGACCTGCCCAACTGTGCTTATTTCAGAAAAGCAGCAGCAGCTCTTGAGAAACTGGTCATTTTTTGGACAACGCACAATTTATTATCTGACGTTATTTGGCTTCAAAATTAGGTTCTTTCCAACTGTTCTCTATACTTACATCGTCGTCATCACCACTGCTCAGCAGAACACTCCTGTCACTTTCCTAAAGATCAAAACATGGGTCATTATTCAAACAACCGTAACTGAAGAAACATTTCATAACCTTCACCTTCAGTCGCCCTCCTACCCCTGCCCTCCAATGCCCCCCCCACCTCCTGATCCCAACCCCCAGCTCGGGACCCCCAAATTTCTGCCTTGGGACATCCTCCCACTGTGAAAGCTGCTATACAAATGTAATTTATTTGTTGTTGTCTTTCTTTGGAGCTGTTACACAACAGCAAAAATTGGAAGTAGAGATGCACACATAGCACGAGGTAGCAGTACGCCCAACCCTAATAAAATACCGAAAAAAGCAATGCCACCAGACACTGGGGCTATAACTGCTGTGTAAAATACTCTGCTTGAGAGCGATCTCAGCAACATTGACGCATCAAATAAATCATGGATCTACTGAACTGGTCCTCAAATAAGGGGAAGTTCACTCACATCTTGCTTTTTCTTTCTTTTCATAAGCCTCGTTTTTTCTGCTTTGATGGTTTCGAAGAAATCTTCCTCCACTTGCTCAATTTCCTGTTGAGAGGCGGCCACACCCTCACGGGGTTGTTGTTCTTCGTCCTTTCCTTCAGTCTTGGCGCGTTCCTTCAAGCGCATCTCGCGGTGCCGGGATTCCAGAATCTTCTCCCTCTTCGTTTCCCTGTCGTACATCTAAGCGTGCCAGAAGTAACGTGAAATGTACAAAGATTTCCAATTGATTTAAAAATTATTTTCCTGATTAATTAATGAAGTAATTAATTTTCATGCCTTCGACCAGACATGAAGACATTTTTATATCGCGATGCATTTATATTGTTGAAAGGAACCTGGGCACTTTTGAGGTGAATGTCCATAACAGAGGTCAAGACCTTCCTGCTTTCTGTCTCCATCTCAGTCTCCAGTTCTCTTTCTCTCTCTGTTTCTCAACAGACTGGTTTGTAAATGAGTCCATCATCACGGCCTAACTACCCTCCTTCACAACCCGTCCAGCCATTAATTACTCTCTGGCTAAAGAAAGGTTTTCTGGTTTCTATCCTGAAATCGCTCTCCATTGCGTCACTGAAAACCACTTTTAAATGCATTGGATTCAAAAACCCATCTCCACCCCCACCCCACCCCCCGAGCCTAACCTAATGGTTCCTAGAAGACTTACTGCAACGGCAAGACTCTTTTCATACTTATCCAGTGTATAGAGTCCTGCCGAAAGTTCCAGCAGGGTTGCTGACCCATCGTGAGACCCGCACACAATGTATTGTCCATTATCCTGCATGCGGATGCTGTAGAGTGGATTGTCGCACACCTGCAAAGCAGAGGGATTCCGTCTGAAAAGTTGGGATTCAACAATTTAAGACACTTTCTCTTTGGTTGGTTCCAAGTTGAGGCACCCTCTTGCGCATCTCCAATGTCCCATTAGTGGGTGACAATGGCAGAGCGGGGCTCGGTTGTAAAATGGTCCTGGTGCAGAAAGGATTAAAGAGCGAAGAAAATAACTTACTACCAAAGGCTCACACCTAAACATTGCCTCTAGGGAGAAGGTACTAGCGAGGCCTGACGTACTTCAGTAGGTGAAACGCTTTGAGACGTCCTCCTGATGTGAAAGGCGCTATATCAATTTATTATTATTATTACTATTATTGCATTGGACTGTACCCGGGTAGAAAGAAAAATGCGAGGGCTTTCATTAAAATAAATTGAAAAAATTAAGTATGATCAAGTAAATAACCAGGAGGCCTGTTAAAATAATCCCCATAGGAGCTCATTAAAGCAAGATGATTTCTGTACTGTGGGGCTCAGAAATGTCTCGTTAATTAGGTGTAAACTACAAAACAAGATAAATCCCTGTGAGGCACTGCCTGAGACGTAACATTTGCGACTTTGCAGGGCAGGGAAACGAATAGGCTGCAGCATCCCTTATTCTATAAAGCAACATTAACTGCCTCAGTGTACCGGTATCGAGAACAGCTCCACCGTGAGACAAATAGGCAACAGGGGTGTGGTGACTCGTTTTATATTTGACTGATGGGTGTACGTCGGCCATTGCTATCTGTAAAAGATATAAGACTGAATTTATCCTTCCGTCCGTGGCACAGTAAGATTACTGCGCTCTCTGTAGCACTCGGCAACAGGAGCCATTAAGGAAAAGGAGTTTAAACAGGGCTGTCACCGTGGCAATATACTGCGATGTTTCGTGCTTAAAACGAAAAGCTTTATAAGGAAATTACTGTATTTCAGCATTTCAATTCTTCATACGAAAATGAGTATTTTTAAGCGGACGTATTGTTTTGCTGTATGATATATATTTTGCCTCCCATACCCGAAGTCAAGGGTGCTATATAAATGCAAGTTGTTGTTGTGTGAAAGGTTATCTCCCCTTCTAAGTCAGATTGTGACCCACCCGCATGTCTGAAACGTACAAACGTCTCATCATCACTGCAGATAGCTTCAATTCTCTTATGAATCATTTTAATTTCTAATGTTTTAGCAGTGGCATGAACACACATGATTAGAATTTTCACCCTGGACCTGTGCAAAATAAATTATATTCACTGATATAAATCAAACCATCTTTTATGCCCATATATGTGAGATATATCCAGACTCGCTTTTGAATCGTCACTCTTATTAGGACTGCATGTTTTGCCCACAAAATATACAATGTGATAAGGCGCTATATCAAATACAAGGATTATTATTATTCTGTGTCTGATTTGTAGCAGGTTTGTCATCACAATAACAATAACAATAATAATTAAATGAATCAATGAATCAATCAATCAATATACCTTAATGCTGAGGGTGGGATCATTGTGCTTGAATGACAAGTCCCATACATCAAGAGTCCCATCCATTTTAGTTGTGAAGAAGACAGAAGCCTTCATCGTGCTCCAACAGCCATCGGTCAGGTTGGACAAGTGATACCTAAAACAAGGTACGTATGCCGACAGTTAGTCATTAGCAGAGATTTATTCACTTCTACTGGCATTTTGCACCCAGATTCTCCCACTGTAGAAGAAAAGGTAAGTTTCGGATTCACCACTTTGCAACTGCAACAGATACCTGAGAAATCAAGTCATGATCATGTTTATAAGGCAGGACCTACATCAAATAACCCAGCCAAGAGAGAGATACTTCCTGTAAATGAATATTAAGGTTACGAGCTTGATCTCACTCGCAGCTGAGCCACCTGCTCCGCACTGGAACATCTCGGTCCTCAACCTCTGCCAGTTACACGTGTTGCTCAGGCAGTATTCCACGAGACTTGCGCCTGAGGTTCACGCCGCTCTAAACCTGGCGCGGTGGTAGCTCCCTCGTCTCTGAGTCAGAAGGCTGTGGGTTCAAGCCCCACGTCAGGACTTGGAATCACATTGTCTAAGCTGATGCTGGTGGGTGGGGGGGTGGTGTTGCATTTTCGGAGGTTTGTTAAACCGAGGTCCCATCTGCCTGTTCAGGTGGATGTAAAAGATCTCTTGGCACTACTCGGAGTTTCTCTCTTCAAACCATCTCACCTAAACTCTGATCTCTGATTCATTTAAAATCCTGCCTAGAACCTTGGTTATCTGGCCGGAGACTTGTTAACAGAGCTCAGTCAGATAAGGGTGGACTATTTCCTGCCGAGTTTCCAGTTCTCATTGAGGTATAAAGATAGTGGGGGGGAAACTGAAACGCAGTGTTGTTCTGTGGTCCAGGCGAACGATGTGCTTGCTAGTGGCTCAATACAGGAATCCCTCATTTTCATCTACATTTCCCTGATCTCCGATCGTGTCAAAAAAATACTATTCACATGGTCATCCTCACCTCGATGACGCAATCATCTTATATTTCCAAAGGAAGGTCGCTTATACAAACTGATCAGCACACGACCCAATCTGTACCTTGTTGCAAAAAAAGCAAATAACACTTATAAACTGAAAAGTGTTTCCCACTGCAACATAGCAGTTTGTCTCACCGTGATTTAACCCTCTTGTCAGTTGAAGCATCCTGAAAAATTGCCCTGGAGCCCGTTGCAATGAATCGTGCAAAAGTAACATGATATTCCGTTACTGCAGCAACAGGGACGATCAGTGAGATACGGGTCAAAATGACCAAGTACATCCAGGCAATAGCCTCATGTAACATTACCCATACTTTTCTTCTTGGTGTCTGTGCCTTCGTTTGATGCAAATTTACACAGAACACAATACTGGCTGGAAAAAGAATGTGTAACGTGGAACTGTAGGATCGGCTGATGTCCACTCCCGAGGACTGAACGAGACTCTGACTGTTCCACAGAAACGTTTTCTCGTCTTTAAACTGAGACGGTGGTTAAAATTGCATTCAAAAGCAAGTTGGAATTGGACTCCGCTGAAAATCTAAAGTCATGCCTTTGCTGTTCCTCCAGCGAGATCGGCACGACTTTGAAATCAATTATGTGTTGAGTTTCACTTCGGCTTGGTGTGTGACTCAGCAAAGAAGCTTCGCTTGAAATCCAGAATTTACATGTGCTTTCAAAGTAACATAGAAACCCGTATTTATTCTGAAAGTCTTTCCCTGCTGTGTGGGTAGCAGCAAGTGGATTGATTAGAGAATACCAAATCCTCAATTGATAGCTGAGTGCAGTTAACTGATTGCTGACACAATGATACTGTGATCTCAATACAAGAGAAAATAGAAGTGACAAGAGGTAGGGCAGAAGAGTGGGCGAGAGGGATTAAGATGGATGGAAGCTTCAACAACAAGAAATTACATTTGTATAGCGCCTTTCACTTCGGGAGGATGTCCCAAGATGCTGGGCAGTCACGGATTTGGACCCGAATAGGGATTGGGATTAGGAGAGATGGAGGGCAGGGAGGGTGGGGGTAGGAGGGGTAACCAAAGGAGCAGTCAAAGAGGAGGGTCATGAGACCTGCCTTGAAGGAGGCAAGGGAGGGAGCGAGGCAAAGGATCTGTGGACTGGAGTTCCAAAGGGTGGGGGCAGAGAGGCTGAAGGCCTGAGCGGAGGGAGGCTTCCGTGGAGCATAAACACTGGAGCAGACTAGTTAAGCCAAGTGGTCTGTTTCTGCAGGAGATTCTATGCGATTCTGGATAGCTCTGAGTCCCTCTTCTCCCTGTTGCTAACTGCCAAAACCCTCGGGCAGTTGCATGTTACCCAACGACACAAATGAGAGAGAGAGAGCTCCGAGTGCGCAATCCAACACCAAGGCACCTCTTATTTGCACTTGAATTGTGGAGTCGCTTCGGGCTGCATTGTTGGAGAGAAAAAAACATCAGGGTTTCATAGTTGTAAAATGACACCATGGGAACAGCAGCAATCAGCAAACAGGTGTAGCACTTAACCCTTCAAGGTCTGAGTGAGTTTTGGACCATCCAGAACATTTTAAGGCTCAGTCACCTCTCGTGCACACTTTGAATCTGTAACAGCGAACTCTCTGTGGGTTTAATCGCATAACAAACATGAATGAGAATAAAACTGTCTCCATTAGCGATAATGTGCTATTTTGTGCCCATAGCAACAAAAAGTGACAGCTGTATAATAATAATCCTTGCATTTGACATAGAACCTACAACGTTACAGGATGTTGCTGACCTGTGCAATGACTGTATATTTGCAGGCTGACACTAACGCCAATTTGCACACAATGTGCCACAAACAACCATGAAGTAAATGATCAATTTAGATGCAGGACTCATACATCCAGATAAACTCCTTTCAGCCTTGAAACACGGTAGTGCCACGAAACCCACAAACCTTCTGACCCAGAGACTGCGATTGAGCCAAAGCTGAAAGCTACTCAAAAAATACACTATATTTACTGTACGTGAATTACAATCTCACACAGACTTAAATTAAACCGGTCACATACAAATAAAAGGGTAAGTCAACTGTTTGGTTCTTTTTCCTTTGAAGGATCGCAGAGTTCTTTTTAAAAAAATATTTATTGTACGTAAACTGAGTCAACGGTGAGATCTCTTTGCAATGTTTGCACAGAAACAGCTTCTGAAAAACAATCTCCAGCGTCAAAGCTCCATCCAGTTCTGCGCTTTCCGGCCATCCACCGCTGTACTTGTATTTGCTTTCCATGCAGAGCAGGAATCAAGTTGTCACTAACAAACTGATAAATTTGGAGTCCTGTAGCTCAGTGGTTAGAGCACTCGCTTTGCAAGTGAGAGACCTGAGTTCAATTCCAGGCAGGTCAGGGCGAAACCTTGGGCAAGTTTCCTTACTCCTCACAGAGCCTAATAATAATCCCTCCAAAACCAAAAAAAAATAATAAATTGGTCATTTTCAATCTACGACTGTTTGTGGGACATCGCTGTGCGCAATTGGCTGCCGCGTTCGCCCACAAATATACAGTCAATTCACTTTACAGTGTGTTGCGTGAAGCGCTTTGGGACGTCCTCCCGACGTGAAAAGCGCTATATCAAATGCGAGGATTATTATTATTATTAAATAATTCTGGTTTTGAACCTAAGCTTAAGCCCAGAAATCATGAACCTGAGACTGCAGTCTGACAGAGCAGAGAAGCTGTGGCAGCAATGTGGTGCTCTACCACCACCTGGTGGCAGCAGTTGGTTACTGCACCAGTGCAAAAAAAAAAACAACAACAACAACAACTCCCCACATCCATTTTCTCCTCTGCTGTGTGAAGCTCACTGTCATCCACAGAGATGCAACAAAAACGCAACCCCCCCCACTCTCCCCCCCCCCTTACATATATTTTAATCACCCCTGAAGGCTACATCGGTAAATGCAGCAAATACACCTTACATCTTCTTACTACGGGGGGGGGGGGGGGGGAAATAACTCTTCGCTATTAGTATTGCGAATTTCGTGTCACCTGGCAAGGATTTCGCTTCAAAGAATTTGCGGTATCTGCAATATAAACACAGTCAAGAACGTAGCTTGCATGCTTTATGGGCGAAGGCATTTGCTCTCTCTCTCTTCTTTCTCTCTCTCTCTCTCTCTCTCTCCTTTATCTCTTTTTTTGGTCAGCCAGGTATCTGACACATGCGGAAAGCCATCAGCCATCTGCTAAGAGTATCCAAGCCAAGCTGAGATTTCCACGCACGTGGAAGTTCCAGAGATGGATTGCTGGATTGGATGCACGCTAACTCCCTTGAGGATCGCATCCTGTTTACCTAATTCCGGAAAGTATGAGGCGCAGGTTGGCAAGAGCCCAAGGCCTTATCTGTACTTTACTTACTTGGTGCATAAGATGGACGCATCTTTGATATCCTCGGACCAGACTCTCGCTGTCCAGTCTCCGATGGACAAGAAGTTCTTTGGGAAAAAGGGGTTTCTCTGGAGGGCATACACCGGGCCGTGGTGCCCGGAGAAGATGCCCATGATCTTTTCAGATGGCGTTTTTGCCTTTCGATTCCCCAGGATTATCAGTCCTGCTTCGGTTCCGACCATGAATTTGGTTGGCTGTAGAGCAACGCACCGTTTAGTGGAGCAGCGGAATTAAAATACAAACAAATGTTGAATAATTTACTAATTTAGAGGATTTCAATTGAATATTTTTTTTTAAGTCTTCAAACTCAACCCTGCAGGCTCAGTTAGCATGTACCTTTGACCCAGAGGGTTGTGGATTCAAATCCCACATTGAGCTCATCAGTCAGCCTGACATCAACAGTGCAGTATTTGTGTAATTCTGCATTGTCAGGGAAGCTGCCCTTCGGATGAGATGTCAAGTAAAGGCCGGATAAAATGTGACAATCAGCAAAAAGCGAGCGTTTACCTTTCTTGTGTTGGTGCGGGGGATGGGGTGGTGGGTGGAGGGTAATAGTTTCTGCTGTTTTTATCCTCTCCGCTTTATAGTGTTCATGATAAGTTGTCAATTCCACATGGCAGAAAGGTACCCTCTCCTGCAAACCTCAGTCAGTGCTCATCTGCAAGCAACCACCCGCTGAGAGGTAGACAAAAGCACCTTTGCAGAACCCATCTGCCAACCTACCTACGACCCTGTTCAGAAAACCCAGACATCTGTTGGTCTTCTGCTGTTTTTCTCCTTAAAATTTCACAAGCCACTTTCTGTAAATGCACCTCCTTTATTGCCTGTATAACTGCATTACGAGGTGCCTGAATAATTACCATGGTGGTTTCAAACTCCAACGAGATGCCTCCAAGTGCGTTATCCAGATCCTCTTTCTTTGAAGTATCCAGGATAAGTCTCTCCACGGGTTCACTCATTTTCCGGATGTCCCACCACAGCACCTGGGGACACCAATACAGTACAATGCAATTTACATTGATATACCTGCACTGCCTTTCATATCGGGAGGACATCTCAAAGCATTTGAGACTGGGATCCGTTACTGTAAAGCGCTCTGAGACGCCGTCCGGCGTGGAGGGCGCTATATAAATCCAAGTTGTTGTTCTGCTGCGTGGAGGCCTGAGCTGGGGATAACACAGACTCTGACCGCAAAATAACATTCCCTCTCATACAATGTGTACTTTTCCTTCTGGATTCTCTATTAACCCACAAAATAGTCAGTTTGGGCTTCTACTAATTTAGCGGGTCTTCAGGACTTGTGTGATTTGAAATTGTCGGTCAGTGGGAAAACGAAAAGGCTTAAAATGTGCATCTTTTTCATTCTGCAGTTACCTGACCATCGGTGGATGTGGAGAAACAATCAGTTCCTGTCTTAGACTGTAACCAAATGACCTTATAGACAGGATCTCTGTGACAGTGTTCGATGGCTGGCATCTCCACTGCCTGGCTGCCTTTCCTTGTGTCCCAGTACCCTGGGGAGATGAAACAGACCGCTTACGTAAATTTCAAAACTCTTTCACACTGAGAACCTTGCATCAATTTTCAATGGTTGCATGTAAGTTACCGAGAGAGCAAAAAAAAAACATAATGTGAATGCATCTTTTGTTTAGAATGGATCGCGCATTCAGACGCCCTCCTTACCCCACCCTTCCTGCCCTCCACCCCTCCTGATCTCAACCCCAGCTCGGGTCCAAATCTCTGTCTGTCCAGCGCCCAGACCATAAAGGTTGGCCACCACTGGTGTGTGGGAATAATAATAATAATAATTATAATAATCATAGTCCTTGCATTTGATATAATGCCTTATCACGTCTTCGAAAGGTATAATATACTGTAAAGTGAATTTGACTGTATATTTTGTGGGCGAAACGCATGACAAGTGCTGTCCCGTTCACTGAGAATAGGGCCAGCCTTTCCCACAAGTTTACAATAGCATTTCCCAGCCCCCCGCCCCCCACCACCCCATCTTGGCCGAATATATCTCTCCACATCCCGGCATGGACAAGTTGCCCAAATAGCCCGTTGCTGTGCTGCTTCGCTCTATGTATCATTCTGCGCGGCATTTGTGACATTTCCCAGCGCCAGTGACGTGACGGAACTGTTTATGATGAGCTGAGAGACTGTAACTTTTTTTTAAAAAAATACGTGATTGTATTTGAGTATACTTTGACTGACCAATCTGTCCGTTGTAGCAGCCTCCTGCGAGAATGTGCGGATCTTTGGGGTTGTATTCCAGACAGACGAGAGGGGTGAAGGGTTTCAGTGCCATGTCTGGTTTACTGGGGTGTTCTGCGGAAACAAAATAGGATTCAATATACGTTCCTCTGACAATATTATCAGTGTTAAACCATTAAACAATGGGCTCTGTCTAGCAGTTTGCTGTACCAGACATAAACTACAGTATTATACACAGTTGAACAGCTTTCACTAAGAGGCCTTTTAGCTGAAGTTATGTGACCTTATGTGACTCTAGGCCACAAACATCAGATCAGCCAAGGAAGGGTTGCCATGTGCATTATTGCTCTCAAACTAGGGAATGTATAAGTCCAGTTTCCGCTCACAAGCCTCAAAATGTTTGCGACTCTTCCATGGTTTGATATTTCTTCTCTGGCGCTATGTAGGCTGCCTAGGTTCCTTGAAGTCAACCCAGCAGCACCAGTGAATCTATCTGATCACAGTTATCTTACTGTAACGTTAGGGGTTGTGAAATCAGTCAGACCTCTTCAGCATCGAATGTGGAGCTTAATCCGGCAGTTAAAAAAAAATGGTTACTCAATTCAACAACTGTTTGTGGGAAACTGCTGTGCAAATTGGCTGCTGTATTTCATCCATAAAATATACAGTCAATTCACGTTACAGTATATTCTGTGAAGCACTAGAAGACATGATAAGGTGCTATATCAAGTGCAAGGATTATTATCCCACAGAGCCTCGCTGACTGTGTATTTTGTGGGCAAAACGCAGCAGCCAATATACAATCATTCTGTCAGTGACAATTTCACTCACTTACCCAGGTCCCAGATATATGAGTCTAGGCTCATTTCTGGAGAACCTCGTTGAAACTCAAGGCAACAGTAAGCAATGGCCAACTTCCTCGCTCCATCCGGGTGCCACGAGAGGTGAGATACCGTCCGTTTAATTCTATTAGGATCTCTATTGAACAAAACAAAGATCATAGAGATTTTATGTGACAAATTACTAGCAACATAGCCTCAGTAAAACTCTCAGAAGTCTGATCTATATAAATAGTACAAACTCTCAGAAGTCTGATCTATATAAATAGTACAATCGCCTAAGTCGTACTTCTGCCCAAGTCCTATTGTAGAGTTTATATTCTATGTGAGTTTGACATAATGCATAAGTCATATTAAATGTATGGTGCCAAATGATACAACTTGTGTGAAATTTACTGTGTAGTCCTCCTAAGGCAATCACTTCCCAGGGAATAGAAACAGGACTCTGCAATACAATACAAATTACAATTACATTTGTATAGCGCCTTTCACGTCGGGAGGACATTCCAGTACTTTCAACACACACCCATTCAAAATTAGTCCAGTTACATCCATACTCCAGGTGCACAGTCCAGTGTCTCAAACCAGCTGCGCTGTAGCGAGAGCACTGGCTTCATGAACATATCCAACCGCTCAGACCAACATCTCTGCCAAAAGCTGGGAGATGGGGTGGTCAATAATGATATCTCCATCATCTCAACGAGATCTCAGTCACCGACTCGACTTTCGCAACCAAGAGTAGTTTAAAAGCCGAGCGGTGACCAGTGATATTTCATGCTCCCATCATTACTGGCACTGGGAGTTGGGAAGACAGCTCTGCATGTGTCTGGAAACTCAGAGTTTGAAACTCTGGAACACTCTCCCTCAATCCCTCCGCCTTACCCCTATCTCTCCCCTTTTTCCCGCTGAAGGCCTCCCTCTTCGACTGTGCTTACGGCCATCGCTCCCCACCCCCCTCCTATATATAAGTGCAAGTTGTTATTGTGTCTTAACTGAGCGCACAGATGTCCATACACCGGTACTAATTCAGGTCAGTACCTAAAAACTCAAGGACAATCTGATGTGTGTGAGATTTGTAATTAAGATTTATAATTTTTTTTTAAAACTGGAGATGAGTTGCTGTAAATTGAGTTTCGATTTCAGATATACCTGGAAGTGTCTTTCCACTCTGCTGCGGCAACAATTTTGCATCTTGTCAGAAATCAGCAAAGCATGAAACGCTCACCTGAAAACATTGGTAGTTTTTGCTGATAGAGCTTCCTGTACGGTATCCATTATATCGTCCTCCTCATCAAAGTATTCCTGGTAAATGTTGATTGCATTGTTCTGTTTAATGCAATGTTCCATCAACTGTGAGAGAGGCAACAAAACACAACTGAGGAAAGTAGAGCAATTCTAAATGAAAGGTTTGCTTGCTTTGGCCACTTTATGCAGTGAAGAGATCCACACCCCCATTTGGGCTATAAATGAATCCAACAACAACATCATATTACATTTGTATTAGTGCAGCGCCTCTCGCGTCGGGAAGAAGTCCCAAGGCGCTGGAGAGTCGGGGATTTGGACCCGAGCTGGGGGTTGGGATCAGGAGGGATGGAGGCAGGGAGGGTAGGGGTAGGAGGGTGACCGAAGTTGCAGTCGAAGAGGAGGATCTTGAGATGGGCCTTGAAGGAGGCAAGTGAGGGAGCGAGGCAAAGTGGATGGGGTTGCAAAGGGTGAATCCATGATACAATGGAGAGCATTATAACCGGGTACTTACGCCACCCAGCTGCATAATTGTGTTGATATAGTTCTCGTCCTTTTCCACTTTCTTTCGGTAGCGAATGGTGTGCTCCAGCTCCATGGGATTTACATCTTTCGGCCAGCCTCCCTCCACATGGTTAATCCCTCGGTTCTCTGTTTGGAAACGCACCGTGTTTGCCTCAATGTGGGAAGAGTGGAAATAAAATCTGTGAAATTGCTGCACTCTGAGGTCAATATCTTTCGGGCAGAATCTATTGTGACGGTCAATAAGTTTCCTATCTTTGATAAAGTCTTCAGTCACAGAGACTTTGATGTTAAAGCTGCTATTCTTCGAATCACACCTAAAGACTTTCCTCTTAACATAACATAACATGCAGGAGCAGGAGTAGGCCATTCGACCCTTCGAGTCTGCCCCGCCATTCAATCATAGCTGATCTTCTAATCTAACTCCAGCTAATATTACAACCCTGCCTTATCCCCATATCCCTTAATACACTTTCGCAATAAGAATACCTCTTCAACCGTACTTACATTAAAACGAAAGAACACTCAACATAATTAGAAACTAACAACCAGATTTCAGTGTTTTGTGCGCCTGCTTAATTGTGAGTGACAGAGCGCTCAATCACTCCAAAACTGACGCAAGGTACCAGATCAATCTTTTGTTTTATGTCCTTCTGCTGCTTCGTGCTTTTTAACTGTGGCGTTAATCTGATTGGTGGCACTTGTCCTGAAGTCTGTAATCTGATAACCTTGGTTGAAATTATAGCAAGCAAGCCTTATTATGAAACGTAGAAATATACTACACAATATCTTTGTTCCACCAAGAAGCCATCCATTGTAATCCCAATGCCCTGCTCTTTCCCCACATCCTTTAATAGCCTTACTCTGCATTCCCTCAGGACAGCCACACCTGGCAGATCAATCCATCCTCCGACAACCTCCTGGGAAATACTGAGGATTTATTTTTTTAAAAATAGGTTCCAATGTTTTAATACTGCAAACAGCTGTTGGTTGCTGCTTCCTTACCTCATGTTCAGACAAAACTTTGGAGCATTGCACAGCCACATCGCAAGGATTTCTGTTGATGAAATACTCGGATAATTTCGGATCCGGAATAATGTCAACGTGTAGCTCTGCAGGACGGTCTGAAAAGTTGCATTGCCTGCCAAATTCATTTCGTATTTTGGTGTAAACATAAACAATTTCCATGGTGCCTAGAAAGATAGAAGATTCATCTGTTGACACCAGCACATAAACAAAGTCTTAACTAATCTTTTGCTTAGATCTCCGGCATGTCCCTTGTGCCCTCCATCCCACCATCGATGGCCGCGCTTTCAGCCACTGCGCCCTGAAACTCTGGAACACTCTTCCTCTATCCCTTCGTCTTGTCCCCTCCTTCCCCATCTGCAAGTCGCACCTGAAGACCTTCCGCTTCGACTGTGCCTACACTCACTTCCCCCGGTGTCATGCTCCGCCACTGTCAAGCGCTCTCGGACTCTACCCTGCGCGAGGGGCGCTACATAAATGCAAGTTGTTTTTTGGTTAGAACAGTGGTGGAGTGTTTCAGTCTGAGATGATCATTGGGAGAAAGGTGTGAAGCTTTAAAATCAAAACTCCTGGTAATCTTCCAGCCCCATTTGATCTCTTTACCTTCCAGAATACCTGCTCTAACTCCCATCCCCGCATCTAGCTGTTTTTCTGCGTGTGCGGGTGTGTGGTATGTTTTGTGTGTTGCTCCAGCCCAAGCTGCGAAACCTTGGGCAAGTTTCCTTACTCCACACAGAGCCTAATAATATTCCCTCCAAAACCCAAAACAATAATAAATTGGTCATTTTCAACCTACGACTGTTTGTGGGACATTGCTGTGCGCAATTGGCTGCCGCGTTCGCCCACAAATATACAGTCAGTTCACTTTACAGTGTGTTCTGTGAAGCGCTTTGGGACGTCCTCCCGACGTGAAAAGCGCTATATCAAATGCAAGGATTATTATTATTATTATTATGCTGTTTAAAAAAATAACTGAAGCAAGAGGAGGAACCTGCAACTCAAGGCATTTCACTCCAGATTTCAGGCTGAATGTTCCTGAGGAACAAGTCCCCCCCACACCCCCTATAACTAAACTATAATTCTGGCTCCAGGGAATCAGCCTTAAAGCCATTATTTCGGAGTCACTGTAAAAAAGGGCGCAGTTTCCCAGTGAGTGGGTGGGTGGGTAAATGAGTGAGTGAGTGAGTGAGTGAGTGAGTGGGTGGGTGAGAGGGTGAGTGAGTGAATGGGTGAGAGGGTGAGTGAGTGAGTGGGTGAGTGAGTGAGTAAGAGGGTGAGTGAGTGAGTGAGTGAGAGGGTGAGTGAGTGGGTGAGTGAGTGAGTAAGAGGGTGATTGAGTGAGTGAGTGAGAGGGTGAGTGAGTGGGTGAGAGGGTGAGTGAGTGGGTGAGAGGGTGAGTGAGTGGGTGAGAGGGTGAGTGAGTGGGTGAGTGAGTGAGTGAATGGGTGAGAGGGTGAGTGAGTGAGTGGGTGAGTGAGTGAGAGGGTGAGTGAGTGAATGGGTGAGTGAGTGAGAGGGTGAGTGAGTGAGTGAGTGGGTGAGAGGGTGAGTGAGTGAGAGGGTGAGTGAGTGGGTGAGAGGGTGAGTGAGTGGGTGAGAGGGTGAGTGAGTGAGTGGGTGAGTGAGTGAGAGGGTGAGTGAGTGAATGGGTGAGTGAGTGAGAGGGTGAGTGAGTGAGTGAGAGGGTGAGAGGGTGAGTGAGTGAGAGGGTGAGTGAGTGGGTGAGAGGGTGAGTGAGTGAGTGAGTGAGTGGCTCCATTGGCAGGTCCCCCTCCCCTCCCCAGTCACACACTTACCCTCAGTCGGGCTGCGGCTCCGATAGTTTACTGTATCTTAGCAACAAGACACAAACTGTTACAGGCGGGTCGCTGGGTGGCAATGCGCAGGCGCGTCGGTCTCCCCCCCCCCCCCCCCCATAGCGACACCTACCGGCCAGGTGTGAATACACACCCAGCCGCCCCCAGGCTGGATGCCAAGCAGATTGGGGAGGGTTCAAGCCCGACTGGGCGCGTTTCTGCCCAATGCCTCATTTTTATTTTTTTTAATTTAAAAAGAATTAGTTCCCCCCCCACACCCCCCTCCGCCTTTGAAAACCTTTTATCTTTAGCCCCCGCCCGCCCCATCTGTTGGATCTCCATAACGACGTGATATGGCACCCCTCACGTAGGGTAGCGTCCCAGAGCGCACAGTAACTCCACCTCGCGGTCCCTGCTCCTCGCTCCCTCCCTCCCTCCCTCCCTCGCCTCCTTCAAGGTCCGTCTCAGGATCCTTCCTCTTCGACAGCGCATTTGGTCACCCTCCTACCCTCCTGATCCCAACCCCCAGCTCGGGTTCAACACCCTGACTGTCCAGCCACCCGGGGATGTCCTCCCGACGCGAAAAGCACTATACAAACGTAATTTGTTGTCGTTTCCTTACATAGCTCCAAAAAGCACTGAACTTAAATCGGCCACTCCGTTACCCATAGGAGGCAACGCAAAATATAGGGTTATTTTGGTGCTAGTGTCCACTTGGCTTTGGGCTACAAACTTAATTTAAATTTCTGGTAACCCTGCTCACACTGTAGGCAGAGTCTCAACTTGTCCCGCGCCCAGCCATTGGGTTTGATCGCTCAAGTTGCTCCGTACAACCTTTGGGTTGAGAACTGAGCCAACAACTCATTTGGCACACTTAAAACATCTCTAAATTAAATTACTGAGAGTTCGACGCATGTACGGTTTCAATGCATTTTGCAATGGGGTGCACATTCTACCCACAACAACTTGCACTTATATAGCGCCCTTCACGCAGCGTAGCGTGTCAAAGCGCTTCCTATCCCAGAAGTAAGGGGGGATATTAAAGTGCTGCATATTAAAATCTTACATTCCCAAACTTTAGATATGAAAATAAAAACAAACAGCCTTTTGAAAATCAATAATTTATTCAGTATATAGTTATGAATTTTCATTGTGAAAATGGTTACTTCTTTGATGTGAAGATTTAAAAAAAATCAAATATTCCCAAACACAATACCTCAGGAACATGATGATATCATTCAATACAATTACAAAAAAATGAGCTATTAAAAAAATCTGAAATTTAAATAACTGACACAGTATAAAATGAGCAGTATACCACACCAAGGTTAAATATTGCTAATCTCATCAGTGCCAGCAACCATTTTAAGTCATTCACAATTTAAAGCAGTCTTAACACTGAAACAATAGCTGTGCAATTGCAGGAACATGATCCTCGTCTTGTCACTGTGAATCAGTGACTGCACCCGATTTTGGAATTTAACTCAAAATATCAGTCACTGCAGAACAACCTCCACTGCTCATCCCTGAGCTGGATGTTCTCCAAAAATGAACAGTAATCTTGTTAATAAACATTACTGAAGTTTGACAAATGTAATGAGGTTTTGTCTCCACCATTAAATCCACTGAAATTTTTATCTTGGTATGATGAGGTATTCTGTATTTTTGCTTTCCATTAATTTCATTGGGGAGTGAATCATTTTGAAACAAACATCTCAGATTTTACTCTTCAAGTCATATACGCCGTGTTTAATAGATATTAATGCACCAAAACATGCCCGAGTGTAATTCTGCAAGAAATGCAAATTTCTTTGAATTAAGAGTCCAACCTCACTTGTTGATGACATGGCTTATACAGCAAAGCATTCAAAAAAGGTCATTTTTAATTGCTGTTTTGTCTACAACAGTCTTATCAATTGTTTCATCCATGGAGAAAACCTTACAATAGTTTAGCTTTGGGTGGTAATTGTAGGTATAGGTTACACAATGGTATCTAATGTTCAGAAAACAATTTGGGTCAGTTCCGGATGTAAACTGTCATGACGCCGACATGAAGTGAAAAGGATCCATTAATTAGTCATACTCGATGGATACTTAACATTACTATAATACAAGACACAGTTGCACCACAAAGTCATGGGTTGTACAGAGAATATCAAAAGTACTGGAGGATATCAAAGCTTCCTCCCCAAACTTTATTGTGTAACATTTTTGTGCCCAGTGCAATTTGAGGAAAGCAGGTTATCTTGTATTTAAAAAAGATTGAGTTGTGCTTTGCCACTCTTAACTAGAGCATTTGGAATATGTACAGTGTCCATTTAAAAGTTCTATTTCACTGTGAATCACATTTTAAAAATTGTGATCATCTCTGTAAGTCTATTAGCTACTGGTATACGAACAAACTGGGTTAATGCCTTACTTTTCAATGTACAAACCAAATAGTTGTATCAATACTTCACTTATCCTTCAACAATCTCTATTTCTAACCTTTAACCATGGGCAGGCCAACTAGGTAAAATGGTAACCACTTTGAAATAAGTTCTCACTCTCATATCTGGGCAGTATGTTAAAAGCAGATAGTAACCCCACTTGCATTTTGTTGGTACAAGTAGTTTCATGCATTTAATTGTTACAAGCACCACTACGATAGAACAAAAAACAAAAGATTAATACAATTTAATGCAGTGTTAGTTGTAGTCACATGTGACACTGACTAATAAAATTACAGATGAACATTTTAAACATGATGAGACATGCCATAAGGGAACATGATGACTATTACAGTTGATTGGCTTGAGTTCAGCTTGCTTCCTTGGCACTCTTAAAACTTACAGCTGATCTCTCCATTGGCTGGTAAGAGTCATTTTTTCCAAAGGAGCATTTGTTTATGTAGGTAATTGGCATTCATGAAATTGGGACAGAAAAGAACTACTATCTCGGAATGGATAAAACACATGAAACAGGCTTGCTTTTTTAACAAAGTCAAACCACAGCCAATTCCCTTTTCATTCTAAAGATTTGGAAGCTGGTCCATTGCACATGTCCCCATAGATCAGATTGGTTAGGATTTGTAAACCTTCCTAACAAATTGAATTATACAAGTTATTCACCATAAAGTAGCTAATTTAGTTGGTGTGAATCAATCTGGCACTTAAACGTCTCACAACAGATTCCACATAATTTCTTCACGTCTTTTGAAAACAAGCAAGTTATTTTTGAAAATATTTTTACCTTCTTGAATTTGAAATTGCCACTAAATCTTCTACATTGATGATTTGGCTGTTTTTAATTCAGCAATAATTTATTTTGCCTATAAAAAGCGCTGTAGAACAAATGGGTATTATTTTCTGGAAAAAACATTGTACTGTACTGTCTGATCAGATTAATCTTTAAAAAAAATACACTGTAAGAAACTGGTTTCAAGGAGGTAAACCAAAAATAGCTACACTTTGTTTAGTAGAGAATTTTAAAAGGGCACCATTAATTTTTGTTGGTTTGTCAACAATCAGGTCTACAGAATATTCCTTCTGAAACATAACTGCTCAGGTATTTGTGACATTTTGGTCAATTATTAAAACAGATGTCTGAACGTGCAACAATACTCAAATGAAAGTCATTTTCTTTGCGTCAAGTCAATTTACTAAACCAGTGAAATACAAAAATATTGGAAACCCGAAATAAGAACTCATCTGCTGCTTTTTCCTTATAAGAAAAAAGAAATGACATTGATGTGTTAGGCTGAAACCTACATCAGATCAGTTCAATGAAGGATGCTGTTTAACACAGCATTTCTTTCTCTTTCAGATACCAATGAAACTGTTGTGGATTTTCAGCTTTTTTTTAAATTAGAAAAGATAATGTATTGTAATAAAGATTTGATTCTCACCATAGTTGGGGGAAGGAAAAGGGAAGACTAATTTCAGTTGTAAAAGATGCATCAGTAGGACCACCTAAGGCAGGTCTTGAAATAGAATATATAACATGCCGTATGCTAGCAAAATTACATTTTCTTAAGTGCTGTATAGATCAAGAGGACAATATTTCATGCCGACACTTAAAAGGCATCTTTTGCTGTAAAATTAAGATTGACTGTGTGGGCAAGATGGTGTTTAAGCATTCCTTTACTCTCCTGTTTCAGCAGATGGAATTCTTCATTCCTCTGGAAAGTAACCCACGGAAGACTTGACAACTCTCATTTTTACCCATTTTGCTCATGCACCTTCTGTCAGCATTTATGTTTCCTTTTGCTAGGATATGGTTCTTTGGATCCCAGTTTTGCCCTTTGGTACCTCGGTATTATTCATTATGTGTGAGTTTTGTCAACGAGGGTTAAGAGGCTATTCAATTATGGGAGAAGACATTGCAGGCAGCATTGCAATCAAGCCCAATCCTATCCTCAACCAATGCCCAGAAGCGCACATATCTAGCTGAATTAGAGATGGGAACATAGATTAACTTTTAATAGTCAGCCCTGCCACTTCCCTTCCACCCCCCTCCAAACCAGACATTTGATTTGGGAACCTGCAGACATCTATCAGAAGCTCATCCATAACTGCTGAAAGAAGGGGGATAAAAGTCTAATGTGGTTGCAGATCGACTCACAGTAAGAGTATTTGGGTTACAAAATAAGACTGATGTTTATTGCACAGTATCCAAGACCTTTTCACTGGGCAATGGGTAAGGAATTGTAAGTAATCATCTCCATATACAACTGAAACAAACACTTAAATTCAAACTAAATAAAGACCAGGACAAATTCTGAGAACTCAACAGAAAACTTCCCCCGCAAAAAATACATAAAGCTTCAGCTCTGATTTTTCACTCACTGTTGCAGACTCTTACCAGTTTCCTTTGATTGGAAGAATGTGATCATCCTCATCAGATAGACAGATTGCTGCATCAATGAACCCTATTTTTCAAACTGTGCAAAGGAGCCAAACCACAAAGGAGATGAACTGACCAGGTTTTTCTTCTTGGACATGAAGAAGCTCACCACGTTATAGTATTCCATTGACTAGCTTGGCCAACTGAATTTTATTCCAAATAATGGCAAAGCTGCACAGAATAAGCAGCCTTGGAATCAAACTTAACTGGGAGGTAGGCACTGGGGATTTTGCTGGAAGATAAATTCATACAGTTTTTCAAATCCGCCTGCTTTTCAAGGCACTCATCATCTCAGATGCTAATGTTAACCACTGAAATCTATGATTCGGCATATATCATGTTTATGTCAAACCTCCAGTTAGAATGCTACAATAAAACAATGCAACAATTTCAGGTATGACTCAAGCATTCAGTGTAACAATCATTTTGCACAACAACATTTGAGAGAAATGAGAGAACTGGTATTGATTGATATTCAGCAGTTCAACATTGCTCCCATATGGTCAACATAACTTCACAGTAATCTTCAAGGGAATGAGAACGTTTTAGCCAGTGAATGTCTTAGTACAGCAAGGCTTTTGGCTTTAAGGAATCTTAAATTCAGTTGTTGAGGAATATTAAACAGGAAATTCATTCCCGTGATGATGTCTGGCAGGTTCTTCAGTCACTGCAAGGTAGGTTGCTCTCATACTAGGTGAGTACTGGAAAGGAAACAAAAAAAAGTTGGACGAGGAACAATTCATTTCAACATATTGATAAATCGAAGACTCAGAAAGAAATAAAATTACAAGAAATGGTTACAATTTCAGGGAAACCGTAATCTACAAAAACAATGACAAGCACATTTGTCTGAACGTACATTCTCTGAACGTACCTGTTCTCTGACACAAAAGCTGGGCAGTCTGATAAGCAGATGTGCAAGTAACTATTGCCATTGCATGAGATATTGCAATTCAGGTCATGGCTTTGCCAACTGCTGAGATTTCAACAAAGGGCAAGCATTTGGGACACCACCATATGACCTTATGAAGGACCCAGGTCTATGACCCATTTGAACTCATTCCAGATCAATGACACAAGAAAACTAGAAGCCCTCAGTGGGGCATACAATAAAAAATTAAAACTTTCAAAATACCAACCTGAACATAAATAAATGTGCAAATACAAAATAGGGAGGAGCAACATGTTCCATTCAGACATGCTACTTTTTAAAGGGGCATTTTCAAAGCCTCACTTTTGCACATGTATTTTTTTTCAAGACCAGTTGGTATAGCTTTGTTTCAATGGTGTAGTGCTCATTTTAGCTATGGTTTTCTTTGAATTCTGCAATCTGGAAGGCAAACATAATCTCAGCCATAAATCTCCTATAGTAATAATGGCTAGTGGAAAGCAATGTTCTATAGGACAAATCAGCATTGCGTAATTGAAATATTGTAATTTGCAAGTGCCCACAATATGTATTACGAGCATCTAGTATAGTTAATTATGGTGCACTATTGCAGCTGTGTGATTTTACAGTTTAACCATCGCTATTTGTACTGGAAAATTATCCAATAATAGCAGATTGTTTGAGCTCTATAAATAGCCGCAGGAGATTTCTGAAGTTCACCCAATGTATTGCAGGTCAGTGAAGCGTAGATATTTTGGTCTAAAATGACTAATAAACAAATATACTCTCTGTTATACTTGAAAGTGATGTTCCAGAAAATCTGATGTCTACTTAAGACCCATTCTTATCTCTTCCCAGGCTCACCCTTTGTTAACAATGTGACAACTGGTTTTGAAAACAATGAAATCGAGTGAAAACTAAAACTTATAATGGCCCCAAAGCCAAATAAACAGTGCATGCTGAAACCAAACATTTTGCTTATTACTGTCTAGTAACAAGTAAGAGTTCATCAAATAACAATGAAATAAACAGCACAAAAACAATGATATAAAAAAACAAGCAACTAGATGAAATGAAATACAAGGTGGTACAACAGCCAAATAAATTCACAAATGTTGAAAACTTACTGTTGAAATCATTCTTATTTCAGCTCCAAAACTCAGACAAAAAACACAAAAATTAAATATTGGTTTTTACAGCCAGCAACAAAAAAACAGCTTTAGTTTGAGTGAATTGTTATTCCACTTTTGAGGATCACTTCAAAGCTCACATCTACTTACTAGTAGTAAAACTAAATGTTAATTTAAAAAACTTGCTCATAGCTTTTAAAACAAAAACATATTCCCACTGCAGTTGGGGAAATCCAGCATCAAATAACTTTCTCCTCTCCACCCTTGAATTACTGCATGTTCAGAAATGTTTATTTGCTTTAAAAATATATAATAATTCCAACATAAATTGAAACTAAACCCATCAGGTTGCGTATCATAGCACAAAATGTATAGCCCTGTACCGACTGAACTAATCACATTAAAGAGTTTATAATTTAGAAGTGCATTTCAAACATTTTTAAGACTGTGGTTCTAATTTAGTAGTTCAAGTTTTAAAACCAAGCCAGATATAATATGTTCTGTTCGGATCAGTTCCGGTCGTTATTTTGCTGTAGATCTTGAAGAGGGAAGCAAAGATGATCCTTTCGATCTGTCTGGTAAATTATTTGTATGTTTATAGAAACAAATTGTTATGGTATATCTGTGCAACAGACTGAACATAAATTTAAATTTTATAAAAGGAACCTTCAGGCATACAATCAGTCTACAAAAATCCACAACGCTGCTACTGTTAAAGGGATCCTTTGCAGAATATCTAACAGAATTAAATATCTTATGGCTTCAGTATTTTGATGCTCACTCAGAAGGTCAATTTTACACATCAATTGCTCAGATACAAAAGAAAATATATAATTCTTCAATGCAGAAGTGTGCTGTGGATTTTGTCAGAATTAGAAAAGCCAAACAGAGCCAGTTTTCAGGACCAAGGAAGAAATGGGGGGGAAAAAAGTGGAAGGAAGGAAACATATAAAGACTCATCATAAAAATGAATTTCCTTGAGATGCCCAACGTACCGAAGGTGGTGGAGAATTTCTTCCAATCAATGGAACATTTTCATAGCGAGGATTCCCACCAAACAGCACAGTATTATTCCTGCAACAGGAGAAAGGACATTATCACAGTGGTTACCACTAATTTGCACCACTTTTTAAACGTTGTGTGGCGAAACATTCAGGAAAGTTTGGTTCCTGTAACAATCCATTCTGAACGTTTATACAGGAATTAATTCCCACCAGGTTACTTTGTTCAGATATTTAATTTCAAAATTTTTAAGCACAAATTCAGTGATACCAATGATACTACACTACTATGGCATTCAGTTGCTGCTCAGGGCCCATTCTACTGGAGCAACAGCCTTTACTAGAATAATTATTTAATTGCTTAAGTGTGCAACGATTTTTCCTTTGGTAGGTAGCAGTTTAGATTTGAGCTGATGGTTGTCATAATTTTGTGAGCAGACCAATTACTGCACATTATTAGCAAACATCGTTAAATAAACTTAAACAGTAAGGAGAACGTTTCAACATTGCCCCTCCTGTGAATTTATTTCTGAGAGTATTATTAAAGCATAATGTCACAGCTGTGTTAAACAATGAAATAAAGTGCCTTGAGTTGAGACAAAAGTGCACTTAGAACCCCTGTTATTGGACTTACATATACTCAGGTGCAGGTGCTGTGGAAGTTGGTTGAACTATTGCTGTTGTTGCAGGCGGCTGAAGGCTAGTCTGACTCCCCAAACTACTGCTGAAACTGCAGAAACTGCGCAGCTGGCCTCGGGCTGGGTTGTGGGCTGCAATACGCCGAGCCTGAGGATTAAAAGGATCGGCCTCATCTATGTCGTCATAATCCCGATCTCTGGAACACAAAGCAATCCTCAGTGACAAGTGCAGCAGTTGCAACAGAAAAATGTGGAGCCTGTGCAAACCCAAATCATTCCAAAATATGCAAAGAGATTTCCACAACGAGGGAGAGATTTCCACAACAAGGGAGAGCTTTAATTTAGGACAAATGAAACATTTGGTAACCCCTTATTACCCGCTCCCTCCACTCAACAGGCTCCGACCTGCACCATGTTCCCCACACGGCCCGTCCCACCATCAGCGGTCAGACCCTCAGCCCCTCTTTCCCCAACCTCTGGAACTCCATCCCTCATTCCCTTCATTTCGCTCCCTTGCCTCCGTCAGAGTATGCCTCAAGACCTCCTCTTCGATCGTGCCTTTGGCCACCCTCTCTGCCCTCCACCTTGCCTGGTCCCAACCACCCACCCCGCTCGGGTCCTAATCCTAGACTGCTCAGCGCCTTGGGACGTCTTCCCGATGTGAAAGACGCTTTACAAATGTAATTTTGTATTGGGAATGAGTGACACATTTTCAAAGAAGTACTATTCATATTTTCGCCATGATTTTCATTCCACAAAGGACATCACGTGCGTAAATATAAGTTAGGTGATACGGTTGAACTGTCCCTCTCAACAAAGGGGCAAAAAAGTGGATGATACCCTGGAGGAGAACTATATAGTGCATTCTGTAACCTGGCGTGTCTGAAGGCAGACATTTTTATAGTTGCCTGGTCAATGGAGAGCTATATATTATCTTTGTAAAACATTTTCTTCTGCATTGCCATGCAAACCATAACTATAAAGATCAAACTTTTGCAACACTTGCCTGTTTGCGATGTGTTTCCACGCACGAGATATAGCACAGATCAATGCACAGAATGAAACTGCAGCAAGGATTGAAAACAGTGAGAGGTACAGTAATCCCTCAACGCCATCATAACATACACCAATCAAAGCATCCAGATAGTCCTAAACAGGAACAAAGAGAATAATGCAATAAGTCCCCTCAGCTACACGTATTCTTCTGCTGTTCCAATTCTGCATTAAATCCAGTAAAGTGAGGCACAGTAATCATGTACCAGATTTTTGGGCACATGGCTATTTTTACATGGAAACCACGACAGTATATGATGTAGCACACATTCGTGTCACCATGCATCAGATATCGTTGCACGTTATGTGATCCATTAGTTGCAGCAGTGTTGCAGATGTTTAGCTGTGGGACACTGGCATGACACACCATGCAGTTAATAATATAATAATCCTTGAATTTTATAAAGCGCCTTATCACATCTTTGAGACTTCTCAAAGCGCTTCAGAGTATACTGTAAAATTAATTGACTGTATGTATTGTGGACAAAGCGCCAACAGCAAATGTTGACCAACTGTAGTACACTAAAGTGGATCAGTGGCATTTAAATCATCTCAATTAGCTAGAACAGTACAAACATCTTCACTTACAACTTAAACCCAGTTGTGAACCGAGACACAGACGTTGGTTTCCTCAGTAAATAATTACCTTGTGCAGTCCACGGCAGTCAAGAAGTGCAGTGAGCTGGTGCAAATTGGATTCAGATTGATTTAGCAACTGCTGTATCTGAAGCAGATCTTTCTGTGAAGTAAAAAGAGCGAGTGAAATCGTAGCAATGAAACTGAACAGCAGACTCTTGACTTGTAGAAAGGAAGGTGGCAAAACTGAATTGGACTCCTTACCTGTGCCATTGGAAATATTGGAACTGCAATGTGCAGCATTCCTTGGATCTGGAACTGCATAGTGGTCAATGATCGCTGAAAAACTGATAGAGTCTATGGAAATAGAAACAAAAATACAGCTTATATTATATCAGTGTAAGTAATCAAGTAGCTTGGTCAAAAGTCTAGCATTTTAAAAGAGAGTTTATTACTATGTTAATATCTGGTTATCCAGAAGAGTCTAACGTCAATAGCCAGGGGGTTGCAGTTGATAGTCTACATTTGTGATCAAACATCAGCTGCAGAACCAGGGGGAACTAAATGCAACTGATACTGAGGTTCAGATAACCCGTGGACTCAACTTGAAACTGGTTGGAATGGCGTCATGACACATCTGCCATCTGTCATATATAAAAACGTTTCATACCTGCTGGAATGGGTTGGTCAGACTCTGGCTGCAATACAGATAGTAATGCACCACTTCTGTAATAAAAATAATCAAGCGGTCAAGTGGCAGTCAGTGAATCCATAACTTTCCACGCTAGCTGCAGTACAATACTCAATTTATGGTGAAGCCAGTATAATCTAATCTCTCGCATCCTTTAAACAGTGGGCATTCGATTGGGGTATTCTCAAAGCACTTGCAAATTAATCATAACAATACTGTCAGGAAATGGGGAAAGGAGAATGACAAGGCATTGGTGCACCATGAGTATCCATGGAACTGTATCTCACTTTATTTCCAGCTTTGTGAAAGGGGGTGGGGTATGAAAAGGGATATAGAAAGAGTGGTTAACCTTTAGAGACAAGTGCAGAGACCCATGTCTTAAAGTGTATCTTTGATAACATTTCTAGTTCACCTGAGCTGACTTTGTTCTGGGTCAGGTTCATGATAAATTTGTCTGGAGATACACAGAAATCACTGACGCCCTGCAACACAAGCAGATAGAAAAAATGTTGATTATGTGGAAAAACAGTCCTTAATAGAAAACTTTAAAGACTGTTTTTGTAGGAAGAAAAAAATAAAAAGATGAGAAATTTATTATGAAATACAGTATAATATGGATTGAGGTAAAGCCAACGCCTTGGAGAAAACTTGTCAAAATGGTCTAACATCGTTAGTCCAGTAATTGTACAAAATGCACAGATTTAGGCATTAAAATCACAAGCATAGGTACAAAGTTATTTAGCTTATCTGACCTAGGGTTGAGACGAGACAAGGCCAATTCATACTGAACAAAGCAATACAACACACTGTAGTCGATGACTTCAGTTAACACGATCAAGTCAGCTCTCATTGAAACCAATTAGGATGCAATTAAATTAGTAGCCAGCTTAATTAGCATCTCACTTGTCAAGAATGGTAATTACGCCTGTAAAATGGGATCCGATTTGCAGCCTTAATCAGATTTTAGAAGTAAAACCAAAGATGTTTAAAAGCCGATTTCTGTAATAATCACCATCCGTGTACAATCTACAATGAATATCAGAAAACCTCTAATAATAATTTAATTAACATTTACATAATCTTGGTGTCCAAATTGTAAAAACTGATGTGCAGGAAATGTGTTCATTTGTAAAAAGGTTGCAAATATCATCAGGACTCAAAGGGTTAATCCTAACCATCAAATCAGATTCAACAGCTTTGTGGAAATAGTCCTTTAAACAAAACAAAAGGTGGGGAAAGAATTATGGAAAGGCGAGTTCAATGAAGCAGGGAAGGGAAAGGATTCATCAGTCATTCAATGAAAAGACTCGACACATCTGTTCCTGCAAACAGCACAATAGCATCACCTAATAATCCACTTTGCAGATCTTTGGGGGAAGGCAACATTCAATCCCTAAAATTTGGCCTCGGCAGATTTCAGCTGCTGGCAATAGTTTTCTTAAATGTTTCAGCAGAGGATACCATCTAACAGGGTTGTGTATGAACATGGGGAGAAAAAAACAAAAATATTCCCTCTACAATCACGCAGTGGATCCTAGCGAGTGTGGATGCTCAGAAGTCGGTAACTAAACTGGCCAGTTATTTGCCAATCATTAACTGAAATAGTTTTTCAGTAGTTATCATCAATTAATGAAAATACCCCCAGTGTTAAAAAGGATCTAGAATAAATCAACTGCTTACTGAGCCCTGCTAATAGTTCATTGTTACCATTAGATTGCTGACTGCACATATCTTCAATTATAACATCAAAAAAACCTAAATAATCTGGAAACATACTCTGCAAAAGCTCATCACTACAATCTTGAATTTAAGTTGAGTGAAGTACATCCTCTTACACTGTTTTCTGTAGTATTTTATAGTTTTAAAAGAGTTCTGCTCCTCAAACCAATCACTGAAATAATTAAACAGAGGGTATTCTGACAGTTCTTTCAAGGACATAACAAAGGAATACTAAGAAGGTATTCTGTCGCAACATTCATTAATTTAACTAGAATGCTTCCATTCCTACAACAAATTACCCTGACCACACAAGCTTCTTTCACACTATCTGGGAGAAAGGAGGGGGGAGAAAAAGCACCATGTGCGTATGCAAATGTCACACACAAGTAGACAGTGGAAAGAGGGTTAAAATAGAATTGAAACATCCACCCGAATTGTATTTTGTTATGTATGTACAGAAATCCAACAAACTAAAGCTTGTTTAGTTGCCACGGAAAATAATTACTCCAGGATTTTCCCAAAGAATAATTCCACAGTTCAGATTATTGTACAGACATTTCAACTGGAAACAGTTTTCCAGTGCAAATACAGTCTTATGATATGAGGCACATAAAGTCCCTCCTTGCTAGAAATGACCTAGATTTCAGTCTGAAATGCACTTTTATTTGAGCAATTTAATTTTCACATAAACGGTTCTGGAAATGAATTCAGCTATAATGAATACTATTCAGTGTGAATAACTGTCCAAACTATCTGTAAAACAATAATGAAGATCAAAATTAATTCTGTACAAGCAAATAATGTACGCTATTTGACTCACTCAAGGGAACCGTGATCAATAGTACAATCTTATTCAAACTAAGTTAAAGGGATACTAAAGTGTAAAGAAAAGCATTTCAAAATAAATCGTTGCATTTGCTCGGTGCCTTATATCAAAACACCTCAAAGCACTTCAGAGTTTTTCTGTAAAGTGTAGTGACTGTATATGTAGGAAATTCATAGGAAAGCAATGTCCCACAAATAAGTGGGTGACTTTTTTTTATTTTGGGGATAGTTGGCCAGAAGACTGCGAGAAAGCCCCTTTTTCTTCCAAAAAGTGCAATGGGATCTTTAACATTCGTCTGAACAGACAGACGAGACAGTCCAGTTTAACATTTCATCTGAAAAATGGTGCCTTCAAAACAGTACTTCACTAGCACTGTATTGGAGAATCAGCCAAGACTATAGGCTCAAAGACCTGGCTTGGGGCTTGAACCTCATCTCACCCCTCCCCTCGCCTCCTGCTCCTCCCGAATCCAACCTCCAGCTCGGGTGCAACCCTCAAACTACCAGTGCCTTGGAATGTTCTCCTGTCATGAAAGCACTATATAAATCCAACAGTGGAGTCCTGTAACATATTGGTTAGAGCACTTGCCTTGCAAGGAAGACGACCCAGGTTCAATTTCCAGTCAGGACAAAACCGTAGGGAAGTTTCCTAACTAATATTCAGCAATTAAAAAACATAGCATTTTTTTTACTTACCACAGCTGTGGCTGTGTCTATTCCCAGAGAGCACCAGCTAAGGATTAGAGTCAAGGCCCCGAAGACAATCATTCTAGGAAAAAAAGGAAGTTTAGTGAACCTTATTATTATCTTAAACTCAATGAACCAATTCACAAGCACTTAGATGAAAAAATGTGGGTTATTTTAGAGTGAATCAATGTCAGTACATGTACGTTCTGTAGTATATGAGCAATATTCCACACGTGACAAAAGACCTCTATTCCAAAAATTAAAATTCACATTTCCATTTCAGAGAGTTAAAATGGCATTCAGTGTGCACAAAATATTTGTGCATTCGACAAGGTGCCGCATAAAGGTTGATAAATAAAGATTGGGCTCATGGAATTAAGGATAATATATTACCATGGATCGAAGAGTAGTTAACAGATAGAAAACAGAGAGTAGGGACAAACAGGTCCTTCTCAGATTGGCAGGTTGTGACTAGTGGAGTGCCGCAAGGATCAGTGCTTGGGCCCCAATTGTTTACAGTCTACATCAATGACTTAGATGAGGAAATGAGGAAATTTAGATTAATGTATCTAAATTTCCGGACGATACAAAGCTAGGTAGGACAGTAAGCTGTGAGGAAGACTCAAGGAGGATGCAAAGGGACATAGACGGTTGAGTGAGTGGGCAAGAAGGTAGCAGATGGGAGTATAATATGGGGAAGTGTGAAGTTATTCACTTAGGTAGAAAAAATAGAAAAGGAGATTATTTTCTAAGGGGGGCGAGACTAGATAGTGTGAGTATTCAGAGGGATTTAGGTGGCCTTGTACACCAATCACAGAAAGTTAGTATGCAGGTACAGCAAACAATTAGGAAGGCTAATAGCATATTAGCATTTATCGTAAATGGGTTAGAGTACAAGAGTAGGGAAGTCTTGCTGCAATTGTATAGGGCCTTTGTGAGACTGCACCTGGAATATTGTGTGCAGTTTTGGTCTCCTTATCTAAGAAAGGATATACTTGCCTTAGTGCAACATAGCTTTACTAGGTTGGTTCCTGGGATGAGGGGTTTGACCTACAAGGAGAGGTTGAGTAGACTAGGCCTATATTCTCTAGAATATATAAGATTCAGAAGTGATCTTATAGAAACCTTTAAGACTCTTAAGGGTCTTGGCAGGGTAGATAATGTGAGACTGTTTCCCCTGGTTGGAGAATCTAAAACTAGGGGTCATAGTCTCAGGAGACTGTGGATGCTCAGTCATTGAATATATTCAAGACTGAGATCAATAGATTTTTAAAAAACTAAAGGGATTAAGGGATATGGGGACAGGGCGGATAAATGGAATTAGGTTAGTAGATCAGCCATGATCTTATTAAATGGCGGGGCAGGCTCGGGGGCCCAAATGGCCTACTCCTTCTCCTGTTTCTTATGTTCTTATTTACAATATTTAAGCTTACATGAAATATCTTGGGAGTTTCAAAGCTGATAATAACGTTTATCGTGAAATCACAGCACAAGAACATGCCTAAGCCACAATTTGCTCTGTTAAAATAAAAGCTACTTCTTCAACTGACAAATCTTCAATTTTGTATTGTTAAAACAAATGTGCTGACTTCAGATCACTAAACTTAGTCTAAATAAGTTCTTTGAATTGAAAACTCTTTTTTTTCTGTTTATAAACAGGAGACATCTGCTGATCATGGCAATGCACTTGATGTCTACTGCTAGAGAAGTCAAACTGCTCAGCGTGGTCCCATTTTGATGATTATATCTTTCAAGGGTGCGGATATCAAATCTAAAGGCAGACTACAATTTGCAGGACTTGCAAGTCTGTTGTCCAAAGTTGCTGCACTACATTAAGTGCATTGCCATGATCAGCAGATGTCTCCTGTTTATAAACAATTCAAAAGTCTTTGGGATTAGTGATTTTAACTAAGCAAATTTGTTTAAAACTAATGTCTGTTTTAACAATATGAAAAGAACCCTGGGTTGCTGCTAACAAAACAATGGTAACACTCAGGACATCAAAGGTTTTGCCTGGTGTCTTGATTTCCTTTATTTAATATTTTCTTTTATGGAAATTTGGTTGGTAAATAGTAGGAACCTGAATGGATCCCTGGCCAACCCTCTATATCTCCACTCAAGACATCAATCTCAATTTTAACATACACAAAGCTGATTTGTAGTCAAAGGAAGCTCTTTGCATAAAGAAGGATAGCAGGATCCAATAATTAATTCTTTAACCTGACAATACTCACGTGGTAAGAAGCCACCGGGATCGCTTGGCCAGGCCCAGAAATGACACAAGGCAGATGATGAGATCGACGATAAGTAAAAGGAGATAAGACAGCCACCTGGAACAACATTCAGAGTGAGATATTCACATGCACGTAATTGCAATATTCACATTGTTTCTCGTGAAACTCCAAGATGTGATACAACAGGAATCTTTCGACATTCCTAAAGCAACTTAGTACCTTGTAACCTGGTTATCACTAATCCCAAACCTAGGAAAGTGCTTCCCAGTATGTGATTTACAACACTTCAAAATCCTAATTACCTCAATTTGATCACTTACTGCCTATTTAGTTAAGCAGTTTCAAATTTCAAGCACAGTTAATGGAGCTTCAAAATGTCAACACGGTGAAAGCTTGTAATTTCATGAAATAAAATCTGTTCTGAATCGCCTTTTATTGTCACATCCATAAGCATGGCTGTAAATCTGTGAACATAATTATCTATGTAATCAAATTTAACAAATGCTGCTGTGGTGGAACGCCCTTTAGGCAAAACACCTCAACATAAAGCAGACAACCTGCTTCCCACCAAATAATGCTGAACCTGCAGGAAACTAATTCAAGATCCTTTTGATGAATGCCTTAAAACAGAGATCATTAACTGCTGCATACTCTATTGTTCATGTTTTCCTTCCTCGGCCATTGCTTTTTCGAACTTTTTCGTTCTTTGTCACAAGGGTTAGTTCATTTGAGTCTCATAATCATCCTTGCCTCTATATATTGATGATTAGCCAACAGGAAATAAGATAGAACCACACTCTTTGATATTCTTCCCTAGCCCCCAATGGATTAGATTACAATATAACTCTCTTACTTCATGCCTGGCTGAAGGTGGACTAAATTCACAATGGGGTAAGTAAATAATGAATCAAGCAGCCAAGGGAAATCTACCTCCATCTTAAATGGGAATGGAGGCTAAACACAGTATCCTTAAATGGAGCAACCAGTTCAATTAGATCTAAATATTTTAATCTCAAATGTACCTGGTTGCTGACCTTACTGCCCTACCTTTCTCTTAAGACCTGTTATGTTGCCACCTTCTTGATCCCAGTTGACTAAAATGTCATAATGCATTAGTTTCACTCTAATAATGCCTTTGAGATTTGAACAAAATTGAAGGTCATTCAAAACTAGCGAGGCCTGCCTGGTACATCTGTTCAAATTAATCTTCAGACTGCAGCTGAGACACCAACCATGCACAAGATTTGCAATTAACATATTTGTGAATATAAACGTAGTAAATGCATTAAAATTCATTCATTAGGCCTGACAGTCGTTCTCAGAATACAGTGTAATATATCAAAAACAACCTTTATTTTAAATAAATCACTTAGATTTTGTACTGAATGACAATCCATCTCTTCAACGTCAAGTCTTCCACTGAATCTTTCAAAACAGAATCAATATTTTTTGTAATCTGGTTCCTAAAATTAACGGATGTTTCCCAGGAGGACACTGAATTCGAAAGACATCCGGGTATATCTGATCTTCACAATCCACTTACAGTAAGTAGTTGTGGGTGATGTCGTGTCATGAGGCAAATATCTACAAAAGGAGGAGTATAATATCCTGCCTCCCCTCTGTATGCTGGTTTAAATTAAAGTGACTTGTTTTTCTCCAAATTTAAGCATGCATTTTCAAATAAAATGCACTATAAATATTGAAGGAAAACTGCTGAGCTGTAACTTTTTTTTAAACTAGCTTTTCAGTTATATCATCCAGTGTAAGTAATACTTTGCTGACCAAGGGCACATTTTTAAGGGGATCACAAGGAGAGAGAGCACAATGAAGCAGCCAGAAAGCCCAGAGTGGGCCCATCTCCATCCTTTTATGCTTGGTTTGGATGAAATTAGAGTTCACTCATTATACAGAGGTTTCTACATGAAGATTACAGTTTACATTCCACAAATAAATTCTGGTGTTCTCATCTGAATGATCCAATTCCATGCCTATTTATGCATTTAAAAAATATATAAGCCATGTATGGCATTAACCTGTTTTCTGGTTACATTCTTAAATTATTTGTGAAATTAATAAAATGCCACCTTCCTTATCACCTGTAATACAAAATGAAGCAAAAAGTTCACTTTTTAAAAGAAAGATTACTAAAACTATTCAAAAACAAAGACATTCTGTATTATACAGGGCGAGCAAAAAGTTGTGATACCATTGCAATGTCTAATATGTCTTGAAGAAATTATATTTTTGTTTTGTTTTTAGATAATCGGGTAGTTATCACGACTTTTTGGTCACCCTGTGCTTGAACACTGCAGTATAGGCTTTCAATAGATACATCAGCAAAGAGATTAAATGCCCTAAATGGGCAATGTAGCTTGACAGATTTCTATGTGCCATGATTAATACTTACTCTTAGGTACAGTGCCTCCACAGATGTGAATAAGGCATCACGTGTTAAAATGACCACATAGTAATTTCATCCTACTAAACCCACCAACCCTAAACTACATTTCTGCATTAAAGTGCAGGTGAGCACCTTATCTCCTTCAAATGAGTTTGACAGAAGACAAGCAGATTTCACCACATCTATAAATTTCCAAATTAGTCCACAACACTTTTTCAAACATTTTTTCTAGTTTGGAATAGAAATAGAAATAATACAAGATTTAGAAATAGGGAGCCTTTGGAAATTCTGTGCGTGAGTCCTGTAGCTCAGTGGTTAGAGCACTCGCTTTGCAAGCGAGAGACCTGAGTTCAATTCCAGGCAGTGCGAAACCTTGGGCAAGTTTCCTTACTCCACAAGTCTAATAATAATCCCTCCAAAACCAAAAACAATAATAAATTGGTCATTTTCAATCTACGACTGTTTGTGGGACATTGCTGTGCGCAATTGGCTGCAGCGTTCGCCCACAAATATAGTCAATTCACTTTACAGTGTGTTCTGTGAAGCGCTTTGGGACGTCCTCCCGACGTGAAAAGCGCTATATCAAATGCAAGGATTATTATTATTATTATTTGCACTATTTTGATGATTACGACAACATAAACAAGGCTAGAAAATCACTAAATATAATACTGAACAGAGCAGCAACAGGACTAGAATGGAAGGAAAATATAAAATGCAAATAGTAAAAAATGCTAACAGCTCTTAACATTTTCACATTCTAAACTGTGTCGCTTCTTTTTCTTTAAAGCAAATCACTTGTGAAAGTATTTTTAAATTTAAAACGAATAAGGATTGCGATCTATATCATCCTGTTGAAGTTCTATTTATTCGCCTAAACCTATCTGTAGCAAATGCAGAATCACCTGCAGGGTAAAGGTTGACACCATTAGCTATTAACTTCAGCAAAATACAATCAACAACAACATGCATTCATATAGCAACCCTCACTCAGGGGAGATTCCCAGAGCACTTAACAAAGGTTCAGTTCTGACCAGAATCAGAGGTCCTGTCATCACTACAACAACTTAATAAAAATTCACAAAACATCTGTTCAACAAACATAGGGGTATTACTAGTGCCTGAATAAATTAAATTCCATTACATAAAATCTCAGAATTTTTACTGGTGTTTTGGGGACAACAATGCAGCTTTTAATGGTGCTTTACCTTTCATAGAAACCACACATTATTGTTAAAACTGCAAGGCCCATGTCCATAAACAATACAATTTACATTTATATAACACCTTTCATGTCGGGAGGACGTCTCAAAACACCTCACGGTTCTGGATGGACGCCCGAGCTGAGAGTGGGGAGGGGAAAGATGACTGAAAGCGTCGTCAAAGAGGAACGCTTTAAACAGATAGAAAAGATATTTGAAGTATAAATTATTTGTGAATAAAGATAACGTAAGTGCCTTTAAACTGAGTGGCCATCAAGAGGACTGGAGCAGCCGAGAGAAGTGCATCAGAGCAAGATGCAAAGCACCAACTGACTGTGTGATGTTCAGCTGTTTGGCAGTCATCTGCTTCAAAAACAGCAAATGTTGAACAGCTGCATGACTTTCAGAACCCACCAATCTTAATTCTTGGGCCATTGAAAAAACAGAGGCATTAGTTGCCATTTATCATTCATCTGCAACCATGCCGTGTTTTTTGGGTACTGTTGTGCGCAACTGGCTGTTGTGTTTCACCCACATAATATACAGTCAATTTCCTTTGCAGTACATTCTGTTAAGTGCTTTGAGACACCTCAACGTCATGATAAGGCGCAACATCAAATACAAGGATTATTATTATATTCATCAGACATTAATGAATTAATTGGAAATTATTTGCATTTAACATATACCTTAAATATTGTCCATCTCAGTGAGGGTTTTGCTCATCAATTCTTACCTGTAATATTCAATGGAGCTAATGTTATTAGCTATTTCTGCCACGTTCAAATTCGTATTGTGCCATACAGGGAGTCCAGAGAGTTGTGCCCTGATTGAATCTGCCATTTGCTGCATAAATTTCAGCGACCGAATCAACTCAATTCTTTCAGCAAAGATCTCATCAAGCCTTGATATGTGTTGCTTGAGATCAAATTTCATACGATTCATTGTCCCAGCCACCTATGTATTTAAAAAAAAGTAATGTTAAATATCTTCCCAAAACACCACAATTACATTTAAAGAAACTGCAAACGTTTCCAATCTGGGAGTAAATCCAGTCAAGGTTCAGGTGCCAGATATTGCTGAGATTTCACTTTCACTTATTTTCCTTCATAGTTTGAATCTTAAAACAGATGTGTAATGGACAACTATTGAGCTGAAAAAAAATATTTTTTTTAGTTCTGTGAACCAGCCAGACTGATTGGATAATTGCTTTTCCCAACAGAAATTCTCAACTCCGATCCCGTGAGACAAATGTGCATAATTAAACAATCTTACGTAATGCCTGGAATGCTCAGTAGTTCCTTCATTCATTCCTTGTCAAATTTGCATTATAAACACAGCTTGAAAAAATACAACACACCTAAACAAACCAACTTCGTTGAAATGCACCAAAAGATGCACTTTGACACTGGAAATATCTAAATGTAGACTCGGACACAATAGCGGAAGCTTGTAGAACACCACAAAAACACATGTACATCACATTACAACAACAACAACAACAAGATTCCATTTATAAAGCGCCTTTCACGTCAGGAGGACGTCCCAAGGTGCTGCACAGTTGGGTCATGACCCGAGCAGGGGGGAAATGGTCAGGGTAAGGGGAGGGAAGGGAGGGAGCGAGGAGGGGGAAGAGAAAGTGAACTTAGAAAGTGAACTGAACTTAGTTGTCAGCACACCACTGCAAATGAATCTTCCTTCAACAGGCAGATTCTTAAATGAGTGGATTTAAGTTTGTGAAACCCGGTGAAAAGCGACATGGCTGTGGAACAGAGTTTCCTTTTAACTTGACGACTGCTAATTGAAGCTGCAAGGGGTATAAAATCCCTTTTAGCGGAGGGGTGTGGCTGAAAAACATTCAAATGAATAAACTGCGAGCAAAAGTCACATCAAGAAACGGATATCTTGAAATAACAGGAACCAGGTCGCATTAATCATTGAAACTAAATACTCATTGCAAAATTGAAAACAGACCAAAAGCAATCCACAGGCAGTGAAAATACTGAAGCAGATTAACAATCTGCTGCATAGTCTTATGTGCATTTTCAAGATGACACTTTCCACAAATTAGTAACATCGTGTGGTAGTAACAGGTCACGACTTACCAAGCTATCAACTCCAGCAAGCGTATGGTTGACATTGTAGATGGAGTACGTCAGCTGGTAGACTCCATCATTTGTTTCACTGTTTCCATAAAAACCAACTCCTACGGCAGCACTATAAAAAATGCATTCCATGAATTACTGTACAATCAAGGTACTCATGAGTGGAATGACTGAGGTTAGTGAATAGATAAGGATGGGTTACAAGAGAGTAATTCAGGCAAGATCTAGATGTAATTAAATCATGAGTGACATGCGAGCACATGGATAAAAAATTAACACTGGTGCAAGATAAGGCAGGGTGCCCAGTGTCTATAGAACTATAGCTCAAATAAGATACCAAAGAGGAAGGAAGAAAGTTAGTGTAAAAAAAAAATTACTTGACAAGCTTGTCATTTATGCTTAATTATTAAAATGTGAGTGGTACAATTGGGAACTGGAGGCCCCCCAAAATAGGCATAAGAAGTAAAGTGCACATGCGTAAGCTACTGCTGCCATGCAGATGCATCGTTGAGCTGGAACAAGTATGGAAGTTTGGGGCAGATGCAAATGCATCTAGCCTGAAGCAACTGTTAATCTTTCAGACATTTCGACTCCAACATGTCTCTGGAGACAGCAATGCTGCCTTATTTACTGGATGTCATGTGCAGGGTATATACAACAAGGGCACTAAAAGGAAACTGCAGCATTTCGTTGCTGCTGCTCTCTCAAGTCAGCAAATTCAGGAGTTTTATAGAGAGAAAATATCCAAATCTCAAAAAAGATGGATAATAATGATGCAAGTTACAATCCAAAAACAGCATTTAAGGAGAAGAATCATCTGCCTATGGTTCAGTTTTCATTTCTATTACTCCCTTTCTTAGGCACTTTACCTCACGGAACAAACTGACCCATCACTTAGCATTTTGCAGGCAGAATAGCTATAAGCCTTTGTCAAGGCCTCTTGCATTAGAATCTGGATTAAGCAGTTGGTGGTACACATTTGACTTGGATCTCTAGAACATCAAGGTGGCGAACATATGGAATATTGCCTTCCACAAGTCCTCACACCACTCTGAAGGCAGGTCGCTGGCAAACAGCTGTTGATGAGGAATCTCGGGCTAGGGACAACTGATGGAAGCATTACCCCAAGTCCAGAATTGTAAATACATGCTTATATATCCTGGGCTTTGTGCCTGCCTCATTGGCATACAGAGAGGTAAGTAAACAGCCAAAACAAACCCATTAGCTCGAAGACATTAATCTGCATTTGGTCAAGGAGCTAGGAGTTTTGAGTGAACTATTTGTGCGTGCATGATAGCCATTACTTAGGTCAGGGTTTAATCAAATACTTCAACAAAGATTGGCTTATATTAACGAACTGGCAAGTAAAGCAGATAATAGGGACGAAGATAGAAAACATCTTTGGCCCTATTATCTTGTCTTTTGAGTGCTCACTCAATAATCCTCTTCACATGCTTCGTGAAACAGGAGCAAGTGCTTTCAAGATTGTTACATAAAGAACTATTTATATCGAGATTTTCTTAAATAACCTGTTTTAGGTTTTCAAAATTGCACTGAGAATCTCACACTGAATATGTGTTACCTAAATCAAGAAGGATTGATGAGTATGCATTCCACACACATCTCATTCAATTAAAATCAATACGGTTGTACAAGTGGTTCATGAATGGTCACCTTTAATGTTTTATGAATAATCATGAAAATATGATAAAACTAGATATCAAAAGAAACATGTTGCTGGGGTGAAGAAAATAGAACATCGGATTATGAAGCGATGGCCTGAATGATCTTTTCTTTTCCTATTAAGCCATTTTTCACGTTTACTGCATTTATTTAAAAAAGTCCTGTGTTAGCTGCTCATGGTTTCAATATGTATATTATGCTCATTTCTATATTCCAATTCTACTGGTTTATTTCCTAAATAGAACCCTCTGGCTGACACTTATGCCACATTTACTATTTTTTCAAGGCCCTGTACTTTGGCAATTGCCCTGGAGGACAATTTTGGTGGCTGAGAATATACAGTACAAAGCAACACAAGATACAATCTTCAGTGTGCTGTCTCTTCCAACATAATTAACCCAGAGTTCTTCCTTGAGGCTTTTATTCTTGACCCAATTTCCACTTGTGTCATGAACGTTTCATATCTGCTGATTTTAAAAGTTTGGGCAATTTTTAAAAATCCGACTCCCATAAACCAAGCCTGGTGCTTATCTTTCCTTCTGAAGCATAAAACATTTATTTACAAAAAGTTTTGTCCCCTATATATTTTGCTGGAAGCAAAGCAATGTTGCTTCCATCATTAGAGTAATGTTGAGTAGAAAGCTTGAATTATACTTTTTGCTCCATATCATACTGTCTGGGGCACAGTTATGAAAATAACTCCATATTTAAGCTTTTTCTCATTAAAAAAATGAGATTAGCATAGCTGAATTTTAATCAAATGGAGTTTTTTTTAACCAAACCACTTAATCTTCTTAATAAATCAGTAACTAGTGCTCCACAAATCAATGATGTTCAGCCAGGGCTAGAGAACACTTATAAGGCTTTGAGAAATCAATTATCAACTATAATAAAAATATCAGCATTTTGCCTTGAGAAAATCATTGGCTTGCTGTTTTAGTTTAGTTACTTCCACGTTATGCATCTCAGAACCATTTTTACTTATATTCAAAAACGTTCAGTATATAAACCGTTAATCTTCACCAAGCATTAGCCTGTTTGATTTGTGGTGGGGGAAGGGGAAATTCTGTCCTCAATCAATGTCAACACTTTCAGCAGAAATCACTGGACTATCATCATGAATTTTAATCCTCCCTGAACCAAACTGACTAAGAATAGAATGTGGACATTCCTAACTTAACAGCTCTGGGCCATACTACACAGTGCAGTTTGTTTAATCACTGAGTTAATCTTATTCAGAGTTGTGTGGTGGAGATGGATGAATATTCTGCAGTTTGCGCTTGATTAGCTTTGGGATTCAGGGTATACATTCCACAGGGTATGAAGTGGGTGGGATGAAGTTAATGATCAGATAAATTTGGAACATTTGATTAGTTATATACTCTTTTTTTCATTAGCAGCTCTCCAATTCTTAATTTCTTAAAATGGGAATATGAGCTGTTCCAATTTGAACTCAACTTTGACTCAACTTTCTGTTCTTTCAAGCAACTCCAACAGCTGCAAAAACTATGAATTGCACCGTTGTTTAAAAGTCTTCCAAAGGCACGGGAGGTGACAATCGGGTCACAAAACGGGACGAAGGGGTTCAACTGAGTTAACCCTTCTCATCTAGTGCTGAGCTGCTTGGTAATTGTGAAAATATAAATGAACTACACATTCTATAATTTTAAAAACTGTGTAAAGCAGTTAGAAAGAAAAAGACACAACAAAGCTTGGGTCACCTTTCCTTGCAAAGCAGGTACAAATAACATACAAAATAATGGAAATTCCTTAAAATTCTTTGAACTAAATAGCTTTTTTTATAACTAAAAGTGTCAAATCAAAATCATGAAGTATGGATGTTTTTCTCCAGTGAAGCACAAAGACTTGTACAGTACTGGGAAAGAGCTCTTAGGATTTAAGTGTTTCAGAGCATAAATAAGCAGATTAAAATTCAGTTTGATGCACTGGAGAATAATTGTAAGTCCATTAGGCCTTTGATGTGCAGAAAACTACATTTTAGATTCACATGGAAGAGCTTCAGCACTCTTAGTTTGGTTTAATAATGTCCCAGGAGAGATTGTGAGGTTGAGAACAGTTGGAGCTAATGGAACATTTGCAGCTAGTGGTCTAGATCAGGGTGGTCCAGCTGGCGGCCCGGGGGCCGCATCCAGCTCGTGGGCTGCCTCCAGCGAACACAGTTGTGTGTCCAGAGCTCAGGCTTGTTCTGACCTGCTGGGAAAAACAGTGGCGCGAGGCGGCGGTTAGCAGTAGAACCCATCAATAACTTTCAAACCGGTAACAGGATAGATGTTTTACCTTTGTTAAAACATCACATACATTTTTAAAAAGAGTGTTTTAAGTTGTGAAATAAAGGTGCATGGAGATTTAATTACATTTTCAAAGGGTATTGAGCAGAGTATTTCAGGGAAAATCGACTCTCTTTAGCAAGTTAACATTATATTTTGAAGGTCACAGGATCTCATTAAGGTTGCCTGCAAACTGACAGCACAGTCACAAGAAACACATTCTGACTAAATTCAATTTATTAATAATTTAATGGATCATTATGAAGAATGTTCCCAGTAAGAGATTCCAATTAAGAGTTCAGAAACAGTACCCTTTTTGTTATTCAACAGGAAGCCTTTTACTGAGTTAAAAAAAATCCCTTCAAGTAGAACTGCTGGGCTCTTAAATAAAGTCTTGTGCTTCTTAAACAGGAAGTACTGCTGACAAAACTGCTGACAAAAATGTTCAAAAAGGGCCACACATGGATATTTGGGATGCAAAATTTTAAGGGATATGAATAGACAAGAGAAACAAGAGGAACTACAACATCTTCCATGACCCAGTCAAATGTCAGAACAGGTTTGATGGCTGATTAGTATCCTTACTCTTGTTCCTGTGCTCCTAATGTTGGTCAACTTGGGAAATTTAAGGTGCAAACTATGCTCCATTACAAGATAGCTTATCTCAGCTGACAAAGGAAGCAAGGTCAGCAAGGACCTGATGACTCAGAAGTCAACTATTTTTAATGATAGTTTGTTTCATATATTCACTAACTGTGTGTATGGGGTGGGGTGGGATGACTTACATATTAAAAAAAGCTTTACTGCTACATTAATGCCTTCATACAAAGTATTTTTAGGAGAGTGAGGAGAAGACTGATTAAACACGACAGATATAATATCATGCTTCACAAATGCAGTAACCTAGACTGCTGACAATCCTTCACGACCAGATAATTGACTGATCTGGTTACCAACTGCGCTAGGCTCACAATCTACTGGTGTTCTGATGATTGACCACCTAAAAGCACATGAACAAGGAGTACAACATAAATTTATTTTTAAAATGTGGACTTGCGAGCTGGTATCCTTATCATGGCAATCACTTCCTGCATTTCAAGGGCTACAATTCTAATTATTCAGTTTCACATCCCAATATTCTCATCAAAACACTAAAAGCAATGTGTTGCAAACTGACTGGTCTCATAAACACAAAGCAGACACAATCAGCAGCTGGACAAGTGCAACAAGTTTTCACTTGAAATTTAAAAAATGGGGGTGGGGTGGAGAGGAGAAAAAGAGAACTTTAGCAAAATGGAAAATGTTTCATATATACAGTTATGGGGCAGAGGTAGGAAAGAGTAAATCATGGAAAAGTAATACTTTGAAAGTTGACAAATCGGATCAGTGTCAAATGGTCTTGTTTCCACGTAACCAAATTGTGTCTTCAAGATTCATTTGTTGCAACAATCAGTACGGTTAGTTAAGATTTTAAAAAATTGTCATTTTATTTACACCAACTGTACAGCAGTGTTTTGGCTTTTTCCTCAAAATTGATTGATGGAACAGAATTCTGAAGAACAGAAAATTGGAAGAGGGAAAAGAATGTTATTGTAATCTGCAGGAACAGCCCCTTAGTCCTTTCAATTTCCACCTTGTCCACTTACCAGCAGGTAAGGCCAGCAATCACAGCTGTCCACGTGACACAACATGAATTTGGCCGCTTGGTTTCTTCATCTTCAGTTCGCTTACAGCAACAGAGGCATAACATGTAAATGGAAATGAAAATCAAATTGAGGGCCAAGCAGACGGCAGCAACTCCAGCCAAAAAGATGAGTGCCTGGAAAACAGAACACAAGATTTCTGTTTTAGAGATTTTATTAATATTTTGACCAATGGCATAATATATTCTTGACATTTTGCAAAGCTATACGAATATGCAGTAATTAGAAAACTTGTATAGAAAATTGCCCTTCATCTTTAGACAACTGATTAAGAAATGATCAATCCACTTTACACCAGCATGAGTCTACAATACAATATTATCTCCATCTGGCACCAATTCAATCAACTAACTACATGCATATTGTTAACAATACGATCAAACTTGGCTGTGATACCCTCCAGTGTAGAATGACCATCAACATTCACTGTGTGGGCTCACAGAGGAAGAATGATCACTCTTAAAAGAGGACAGAAAATAAAAGGGAAAATTAGTAAAGTTAAAATATAAAGGTATACTGTTTTACTGAATCAGTACTAAATTTAAGCCTGCAGCCACTAAAACAGTAGATATTGTGCTTAGTTTACAGTGGCAGGAGCCAAACCAAATCAGTGCATTTCATAGGTGGGAATATTTGACTTGGCTTCAGCTTACTGCTATGTACAATGGATAGATACTTTCAAAATAGAAACATTAAAGGATATGGCAAAAAGGTGAAATTGAAAGAAAAAGTACCAGCTGAGATACGTCACTAGTTGAAACCAAATCTCTTCATTACACAGGACAGATTAAAGTTGGTTTCAGAAGACTATAATCGTGACAATCACTATTAATCCTAAAACCATATTACAATCTACAATTCAGACTACAGTACCTATTACAAATACAACACACACGTACAGAAACACATCACATACAACAACACATTTAATACATTGAGTTAATAGTCGAGTCAGATTCTACAGTTAACTATAATCATACAGGAAGGCATTCATGAGTTATCAGACCATCAATTAGTGTGCACTGAAGCTAAACCTTTTCAAAATGCAGTTGCTTCAAATTTTGTTTGCTCCATCACTCACACCAGCATTTTCACCTCAATTAATCAAGAAAGGTTTTCCTCTACATTACAAGTAATTAATTATGCTACATCTACAACAGTCCACAATTTTAATGTTCATCTGTGTTGCATTCACAAGAACCTACCTATGATCACAAATGGGTATGAATGCACTCAAGAGAATTTCCATGTTCCTTTTCAAAAAAGAATACTTGTGGCCTCATTAATTAGATTCTTAATTGTGATGATTAACAATCCTTTCGTGTCAGGTGGATGTCTCAAAAGTATTCACATTTACTATAAAGCATAATAACTATTTCTATCCAGACTAACACAAGTATAGACAATTAATTAAAAGGCAACACTTAAGACGTTTTTGAGAAAGAGAAGTTCAGTCTTCTAGGGTTTGAGTTTTTAGCTCCCTTCCCCAGAAGAATACTGTTATTCTTGTATAATTTCAACAGAATAACATAATAAAGTAAATGAAACAATGCAGGCGACATTTCATAATTTGTAACAAGTATTTATCATGAAAACAGTGTTCCTTTATAAAAAAATTCAATTTTACCATTTTACTTATACAAAGTTACAGGTTTCCGGAAAGTGAACTAGAATCCTTGAAATTCTCTAGAATCACGCATTCGTATTGAATAGCCCCCAATATAATACAATGAGGACATGGGATCATAAATCAGGTTGCTAGAGGCTTTCACATTGAAAAGTCACCCATGAAACAGGACCCCAGCAAGAATCTCAACTCCAAAATAATAATAAGAGGAGAAATCAACTGTGAGAAACTAAACTGAAGGACATAACTATCAATAACAACTATCATAACATAACAACCATCAATAGGCACGTTCTGTCGGGCATGCATCTCATCCTCAATGTGCTAAGAACTCATATCACAACAAGTATTGTTCAACTTCCTTCACTAACATCCTGTTCAGTAACCAAAAGTCAAGAGCAGCAAACAAATGTTTAAGTAATCAATCTAGACCAATCCTCTCTTCCTCTCAAAAAATACCCATCTCGCATTCTTTACCAATAAAAAGTATGCATCATTCTTCAGTTAATCTGCAAAAGCTACAATTTGTGATGGATTAATGAAAGAACCAAGGGAAGTCAGTAAATCTCATTTGCGCAATTTAAAACAATTTGCTCTGTATCGTGCCTTTCGTGCACCAACACACTTTTTAGATATTAAATAACAATGTTGCTAAGAGAAAGGGGAATATTCAGGATGTTTATCAAAATGCATAGCAGCAGGTTAAAGAGAACCTCAAAGACATTAAACCACTGATCATTTACTTTGTGGCTATATGTGGAATATTACTGTGCTCAAATTGCTGCCTCATTCACCTACAAATACTCACTATAATTTACAGAAAATCCTGTAAAGCTAATTAAGACAATGACATGAAGACAGTACACAAATACAAGGATTATTATTATAAAGCCTCATTTGTTAGTGAAGGAAACTGTGTTACACATAGATCCATTTGAAATGTTTAGCTTCCAATTCAGAAATATTAAAAGCTTTTGCATCAGGAGCTCTCTATCTCAAAACAAACTCCTGCTTGTACAAAAATAAATGGTATGACAGAAATGAACACTTACAAGACAACAACAACAACAAGATTCCATTTATTGAGCGCCTTTCACGTCGGGAGGACGTCCCAAGGCGCTGTACAGTTGGGTCAGGACCTGAGCAGGGGGGAAATGGTCAGGGTGAGGGGAGGGAAGGGAGGGAGCGACAGAAGCCATCTTGTTTTTCCATAAAACCAGATTTGATCTGAGTATTGCCAAATCAATCACCTCCAACCCCCACCTGTCAGGAATCTTGTTACATTTAAATTGTGGCTGTAATGGATTACTCTACATCTGTTCCCTCTTAGGCTGAATGTTTGGTGTGCTCAAATATGCTGTTCATCAACATTGGCATCCCTCACTTATAGCACAGAAAGCAAAGTTTAATATAAAATCATCCTTGATGTAAAAACAAGTACAACCTTATTGAAGGTAATTTGAAAAACCGAACGATGGCAAAGGTCTAAGAGTCATAATTCTAATTTTTTTATGATGTCAAACTCCAAATTTCTGTTTTACATCAAGCTTAGAGAATACACCAGAACAGTTTCTAAATTCACCCCATCGTGTATTGCAAAATTCTTTACTCCTCAAAAACAGCTAAATTGCAATTTAAATCAGATTGGATTTACAGAATATGTAGCATACAATTGCAACATATTTTCCATTGAAAACAATAGTGATTGCAGCTGTGAAATAACCCCACAATGTTACTTCCCACGGATCTGCTTACATCCCCCAGAGACTCGTTTAATTGTTGTAAATGCTGTACAGTAAGCAAAAATAACTACATTACAGTCCCATTGAATTCTGAATGACAATATCCTCCCAATATTGCTAGCAATTAATATTTAGCAATTAAGTTTTCGCCATGGATTAATTTAGAGAAAAGTTCTTATGCAGAACTGACTCCAAATGTGTAATTTGGTTATGAAATATACAGTATTGGACCATTTCAGGCACTTTTAATGTGTGGTCACACCAACATGGGAAGGTTTGATTATAGGATAATAATGATTCTTGAAACCTTTGCTGATGAACTTCATTACCAGTTATGAAACAGCATTGAGTTTTGTGCTAAGTTTGTCAGATTTGTTTTTGAAAAAAGTAATATTACAACAGTATTTGTATATATCTTTCAATTATTTGCGGGGAAATGCCTTGCCCCATCTACCATTTACCTCACAGTACATATTTAAATTTTCCAGTGTAGTTTAGGCTGATAAAATGCAACCATATAAGTAGACTGCCCGAAAGTGTCTGTTGAAAACACCCCTTAGTTTATCCCAATATTGTTTGTGCCTCGACTCCTTTGTAATCAGAAACCGTAACTGGTCAATGTCAATGACCAGAGGTGCCAAATCATAACTTCTCAACATCTCCTAAAGCACTGGTTTATTCATACTAGGGTACAGTCCCAAGAGTGTTAGCAGCTGTCAAGTACTTCTCCAGTCCTTTGGTTGATTAGCCATTCTTCATGTCAGTTAAGATGATATTTGCTGGCAGGATGCTTGAACATGGATAGCATTAAAGCAAAGACCATCCTGGTGCTTTACATGCATTGTCTATCATTATGACAGATAGGCATCAGGAAAGATGTTTTTTCTCTGTTTTGCCAGCCAAGAACACCAATTCTAGTGCCTGGCTAAGATTAGGTAACTTTGCAAATAAAAAGCATTAAACTGGGTTGCATGCACAGCACCACACCATACAATAAATTAGAATCCACTGAATAAAAATGTCACGGCTATTATTGATAAGATTTTATATATGCATTAACAATTTGGTTGAGATGGTTGAACAAGACTCTCTCCTGAAGGCTGGAGTAATGAGATAAAGGCCAGAAACTGTTCAGTTTCTTCCATTAAGGGCTGACAAAAATAACAGCTGTCACACACACAAAATCTGTTCACTCAAGATAGTCTTAGCTCCACAACCGATTACAGATTAAAATCTCAGATCTGATAGCATCACAGTAATTACAACAAATCTATTTAAAAGATTTGAAAGATAGTGACTGGTCACGATTAACATTTTAACAAGACATTCAGTCTTCAATGGTAAAATACCAAGTTGAAACACTAAGTATTCTTTGAGTGCTTGAGTGAGAGAAGTCCTTTGGTATAACATAGAATTTCCAAGTAAACTGTGCACTAGAACATGCTGCAGAATGTTCATGGACTAACACAGCTCTCTATTAAACATTAACATTATCTAAACAAGTCAAGACCTGTGAGGCTTCATTACAGTCCCTTATTTTCATTTTTCTGAAGATGCTGATACAAGGGACTGGGTGATACTATACTTTCACAGAACTAGAGCTTGAATTTAGTCTGGAGTAATTAAATTAATATTCTCTTTGCTAGCTCATAAAAGTTCTCTTTACTAGTTTATAGAAGTCCTAATTTAAGCAAATCTGGGAATGTCAAACATTTCCATAAAACTGGCTTTTGTAGAAAATGATGTCATATTTGTGCAATGGAGTTGCTTGTCTGAAATGTACCATTATTCATTGCTTTAACCAGGCATTGTGAAAAACAGCAAAAATTCTGTTTTATAAAGAGTCATGGCTGCTACTGTCGTTACTTTTACTAATTTCAGATTGGCAATATGCAAAAGTTAATTTGAATTAAAATGTCATTCTGCTTATCTTGTTAAAACAGTTTTCTGTATCCATTTGATACAGGGTTTCGGATTCTTGTAGCTCTCTGGATGCTCTATAAATGCAAGTTATTGTTTTGCTGAATACTGAGATCGCTCTGCTGAATCTCTAAATAGTGCTCAGGAGTAGAAATCCTGGCTAACCTCTTCGCTCAACCTGGGCAGGGTGAAACGGACTGGGCACCCTGCAGAAATCAAGCAACACAAATCACACATCGAACCTTAAGTCTCCCAGCTTACATCGCTCAGTACCACACCATGTAGTGATTAACCATGCCACTGGGAGACGACGTCTGACTCTCACTCGGTGAGATGTCAAGTTTCCTTTTTCCAAATTGTCTGCAATGTAATATGCATGGCCATTGCATTCTACAACATTCCTGAGCTAAAGTAATTTAGTTCCTGACCCCTTAAATGTCGAGTCTTCAGGGGATTTTTTTTGGTTCGAAAACACATTTTCAGCCACAAAAGCAACAAAATGGGAGCGAGGTGGGCGGTAAGGAAGGGAATATTTAGCATATTGAGCATCAACATTTTCAATTCCAAAAGATACCAGTACTCGTGGAATTTTTAAAAAAATGTAGCTTATGATTTGTACGGCGACCACTGAAATTTACAGCATATTTGACCAAACTGAAGCAGCTTGACAAAAACTAGACAAAAAACAGACAGCTGGCAATAATTTCTCTCCTTCGATAACCACAAATTTTTCAGATATCATGATTCGCCTGAAAGGGTGACCATACATCCCCGATTTCCGGAGATAATCCCTGGACAGGGTATTGCGTCGCTGGCCAAATTTCGCCCTGTCTTTATGAGTTCAGCAAGAACAAGAACAATCACAATCTAAAGCAGATCGTGAACCAGAGAAACACAGCCATTCATCCAACGAGCTACTCCCAGTCACTGTACTGCCAGCATCAGGAATTGAGGCCAGTTCAAGATATTTATTTTTAAATATATATATATAAAATCATAACAACAACGATCCTTGCATTTGATATAGCGCCCTATCACGTCGTCGAGACGCCTCAAAGCGCTTCACGGAATAAAATAACAGCAACGATCCTTGCATTGGGTACAGCGCCTGATCGCGTCCTCCAGACGTCTCAAGGCGCTGCGCGGAATACGCTGTACGGTGAAGTGACTGTACATCTGTGTGGGCGAACACGCGGCAGCCAATGGCGCACAGCGGCGTCCCCACCAACAGTGGTGGACTGAGTGACCAAATCATTATTTTTTGGGGGGTTAAAATGTGTCCTGTAAGGCAAATTGACCGTATTTTGTGGGACAGACACATATATATATACACACACACACATCTATGCATATTATATAAATATATAATCTCCGTCTCCGGATTTGGTTTTCCAAAACATGGATCACCCTACAGATTGCAGGAGAGCTCATGAGCAGGTCCCAACCGTGGTAGACAACAACAACAACAACAACAAGACGGGACGTGGAGACGCCGATGAAGGAAGAAAGGCTTTCATAGTCCCCCCCACCCCCCGGAGAAGAAGAAGATGGAGAGAGAGGAAGATCGAAATCGGGACCGCGGGTGACCGACCCGCCGCTCACCTGCTGGTAGTCGTCGTCCTGCGGGTTGAAGGCGCTGCCCACCGGCTGGAAGCTGAGGTTGACGTGAGGGAAGTTATGGAGCCAGTAGGTCCACCACGGAGCGATGTAGTCCACCCGGGAGGCCATGTCTGGGGCCCCCTTCGCCGGCGCGCGCGCGCGCGCGTCTGTTGGATGGGTGTGTGGGCGCGGGCAGGAAAGATGGAGGGAGGGAGGTGGGGACGGGTGGTGGTGGTGGTGGTGGTGGGGAAACCGAGAGCAAAATCCAAGCCCTCAGCATTAAAGCCCCGCGACCAACAGACAGACAGACAGACGGACAACAGGGAGGCGACCCCACGCGCGCGCTCAGGGTGAAGCCAACCGAGCGGCTGCTGGAGCTGCGCGCGCAACGCCTCGCCTGGCTCTCCTCCTCGCGGGGTGGGTGTGGGGGGGGGGGGGCGGGGCGCGAGAGGAGCGGCGGCGGCCTCCTCTTTATTTAAAAAAAACCCGTTAGTAGCCCAACGTCCCCCCCCCCACCACCGGCCCCGCCCCGAAAGTAGCCCGACTCGTGTACGTCACCCGCCTCCCGTGTGGCAGAGAGAGCGAGTGGAGTTCGTCATCTTTAAAAGCGGGTCCAAAATTGGGCGTGAACCCGCCCAATCCGGGAACGTTGCCCCGCCTCCTCCTGCGGACCGCCCTCGAGCGAGCCACGCCCCCCCACACCCCCCGCGCGTCCTGACTGGATCCCACGCAGGTGCGCATGCTCGTTACGGAGAACGAGAGACCCCGCCCCCTCCCCCCAACGTGGACAGTTTGGGCGGGTTCCCGTCCAATTGGGCGATTTTTTGGTGCTGTTGTTGCACTGCGATTTGGTGGTCGAGTTACTTATCCCCCCCCACTTTTCATTTATTTATGATTAAATTGGACGTAGTGCCTGATCGCGTCTTCCGAGACGTCTCAAAGCGCTTCACAGAATATACTGTCAAGTGTAGTGACTGGGTATCCTATGGGCGAAATGCGGCAGTCTTGTCCTTGTCCTGCAAACAGTCGTGGGTTGGGTAACCAATTTGCTATTACTATTTAAGGAATATTACTCGCTTCCCTTAAAATAATAGCACTTCCCTTAAAACTGTAACATTTATACTCATTTGCCATAATTTCCCGTTCGCTTGGAAGGCATTCCTCCAAAAGTCCCCTTCGGATCTGCTACGGTCGTATTTAGGCCTCCCCTTGTTTTCACCAATAAATGTAACTTACCCAGTGTTTGGATTTTTATAAAATACAAACAGCCATGAAATGAGTGACCGATTTATTTGTGGGCACAGTTGGCCGACGAGAAATTGTCTCTTTTCGCATACAGTAGTGTCATGGGATCTTTAATCTCCATCCAGTGGGACTGCAGACCAATGTGACATCCGAAGTCCAGACCGACAGCCCACCACACCGGTCATCTAAATGAGTAACCTTCTGACCCAGAAATTGGTGCTACCAGCTGAGCTAGGATAAGATGTAGTTTAGTGATTACTAGAGCTCTTAACAAAAAATCTTGCTTTGCCTTTGGCGATGATTAATTCCTCTAAGATCACATATTGACATACAAAGTGGGGAAAAAAAAAGATGCGTTTACACAACTGGGAGTGAAGTTTTTGACAAGAAACTCAAAACAATTTAAAAAAATCTTTTTTTTTAAACTTAATTTGTTTTCACCCGTGGCTGTAAGCCCATATGAATAATCTATTCCCAGGATATTTCTCTGAAACCAGTTAAGTGTGCAGCAGCAGCTGGGGATGACTCACTCTAAATTTTTCAAGGGAGGGAGGAGAAACACCATCTTGTTCCCAGTCTCCTTATGAAAAGTCACTTTATTTACCTTTTCCAAAGGAAAAGGTCCAACATCTTACACTTTGGACTATTCAACTGAAACGCTAGGATAAATGATTTGCATTCTGCACACCTTATTGTTATAACCAATAGTTAAAGATCATCCTTTGAATCTCCCTCTGGATAAACTTATGAAACCCCATTATAGCAGTCAGATGTGATAGAAGTGATCTGTGAATGAATGGCAACCTTCAAGGTGTTTTGGTCACTGCTGACCTGATTGCTGCGCACTGCTACCTTTGCAAAGCAACATCAGTGGCCCTTCCTGCACAGTAAGAACTACTGCAACTTTTAAATAAACTTTTAAAGGACCAATTTAATGATTTAGTGCACACTCATTTCAAGTACATTAAAAAACTAACCCATTCTCAGAATTCAGAACATTTCAAATGTTTAGAATATTCTAGATCTAGACATCCATCCAATCCCACAGAGGCAGTACAATCAATATTAAACAAACTAGTCCTTTTGCAGCATATTTTAAGGTTCTCTATTCATCCAACATTAATGCTCAAGGCATTAAACAAACCCTTCCTCCTGGAAAATAATCATGGTCACGTGCACACACCTGAGAGCAATGTCCTTAATCCTGGTTTTACTCTTTCAGGTCTGGCTATGAAAGATCCTGCCCCTACAACTGGATTAATAACCATTGCATTTGATACAACACCTTTCACATTGGGGAACACCGCACAGCGCTTTGTAAATTGTGCATTTTGTAGGCGAATACAGCAACCAATTTGCAAATAGGAATGTCTCACAAACAACCCAATCAAGAAATAAATTAATAATTTTATCGGGCGGGGGGGAGGGGAGAGGAGGGATAGATACCAATGAGAGCACATACTGCATCAGGAATTGATCAGCTTCTTCCCTCTATAGCAATGAGAGCCTTTGTTCTTTTTTGCAATACTTGAGACAGTATGGATATAACATTTCACAATCCTCAGACACCTAAAACTTCATCTGTCTCATCCATGGCTTTTCACTTAACACTCTTTGAAACATTGAGAACATCCAATTCCATTCACTTCCACCCTGTCATCTCACGTACATCTTCCCGAAAAGGAGCCCGGTAATCTACAGGAAATATCTGACTTGTGTCAAAAGGCTGGTTAAGTATTTTGCTCCTTCATCTTAAGATGCTCCAAAAAATTCTAAGATTTAGGTAGCTTATGGAGACTTGCGTGCTTCTTGGAAAGAACTTGTCATATTTCTAAAGTGCCGATTGCAATCTCACCAACCTAGCTGTTGTACTTTTCAAAAATCATGTCACAAGAATCATTTTCTCCATTTTTTTATTGGAACGTGCAAGACATTTGTACAGATTTTCACTTCAGCTCTTTTACGGCCAGACCTGAAAGAAAACAAAACAGAAAATCTAAATATTTCCACTATCTTATGAATTTATAATGATGTACGATGGTAGTAGCACTCAAAGAAACACCAATTAAAACATGCAAATTATCAGCTAGACAAGGTTTCATGTGTTTAAAACACAGCACAATATGCAAGATGTATTAACTGAATATAAGACTGCATTAGCATCTAATCAATGGAGAAGCTGAAGCAAAAAGAGGGTAAAACACAAACTTATATTCTTCCAGGTTCCTGGAGAACTGCCAGTTATAATCTCAAAATTTATAGAATACAGCACAGAAGCAGGCACAAATTCTTCATCAATAGAAAGAATCACATTCCTGAACTTTTATTTTGGTCAGCCGGGATTCTGACACATGCGGAAACCCATCAACACGCTCTCAGCCTCTCTGCCCTCACACTCTGGAACTCCATTCCATGGTCCCCTCGCCTCATTTCCTCCCTCGCATCCTTCAAGGCCGGTCTCAAGACCCTTCCCTTCAACCGTGCCTTTGGTCTCCCTCCCACCTCTCTGCCTTCCCTCACCCCTACACCACCCCTCCCCCATGCTCGGGCCCCGACAGCTGACTGTTCAGCGTTTTGGGACGTCCTCCCAACGTGAAAGGCGCTCTATAAATATCATTTTGTTGTTGTAGAGTATCCAAAGTAAACCGAGAATTCCATGCATCCCACCTACACTTGGAAATTCCAGAGCGATAACTTTTTCCCATACCCAAGATATTAAGTCTCGTCAATAGTGCCCAAGGGAACAAACAAGCATCAAAACACATTTAGTGCTGTTAAGTATCTGAAATATCGAGGCCTGAATGCAGGTGTAGAAACACACCTAATTTACACCCAGGATAGTGTAAGTCTCAAAAACGTTTTTGAAGTAAATTGAATCACCAAATCCATGCTTCTTACCTGGAGGCAGGGACTGTTTGAGTTTCTCAGCCTTCTCTGGGTCTGTGATCACCAGAGTGTACAGATACCTGCTGCAGCGCACTTTGAATTTTACATTATCCTTGTTCTTCTTAATTTTCACAGCTGCATAAAGCAATGAAAAGTTATTGGTATATAAGTCCTATAAGTGCAATATAGAAACAAACAACATCAATTGTATTCCAGTGGCAAATCCAAAGAATTCTCCAATTCATCCGACATCCATTAAAAGCTCCAAGTGAAATAATCTGGGACACTATCTCAATATAATACAATAATCTGTACACAATTTAAACTACACCTTGTGTACCTTAATTTGCAACCCTACATTGATTAACACCTGCTGAAAATAATTTAATTTGCTTACATTTTGCATCCTTCCTCCTCGCTGTGAGCAAGAAATCTTTAATTTCTGAAATCATTATAGGCTGTTTGGATATAAACAGAGAAACTGATTATTTATGCACGTATAATTAAACATCACTTAATTAATACAAGGCTAATTCTGCCTTAAAACTCAAAAAAGCTTGATCACACGCAAGACTGAGTAACTGCTGTCAAAAAGGTGATGTCCTATCACTAATAGGGAACCAACCCATCATTCCCCGTGGCAGTGAAGAACACTTCTTCATTTTCACCTAGACTTACCTGGGGAAAGGATTCTCCCCACTCAGCTCCTGTTAACCCTGCAACTCAAAGGCCTCATCGTCCGAGCTGGACAAGAAGTGGAAAGAAAGCTTGCCAGGTAATTGTTTTCGACCAGAAGCTATGTGGTTTCAGTTGGTTAGACTCCAGCATATGTGGTTTTAGTTGGTTAGACTCCAGCAAAACCCCAAACATACATTCCTGGGATCCTCAAACCTTGGCTCCAGCCAACCTCTGTCTAAACTATCTACAGTAGCAGGTAAGCAGCATGGGTGCATGCATATTCGGTTCCAGGCGCAAGGAAATGCCCATATGCATGTGCAGAACGCTGCTGTGCACACTTAACTGCCATGTTTCGCCCACAAAATACGCAGTCAATTCACTTTACAGTCGTCTGTGAAGCGCTTCGAGACGTCTCGAAAACGTGATAAGGCGCTGTATCGAATGCAAGGACAATAATTATGTTTTTCTTGTGTCAAAGGTTGCCGAGGCCAGCGAGAACAGGAGAAAATTTGGACACGTGTGTGTGTGCGTGAGAGAGAGAAAGTGATTAAACATTATCTCTGCTTCAGTGACACAAAAAGCTGACGTTTATAATGAAGGATCTCGCGTGTCAGCGAGTGTCTGGGGGGAGGGGGGAGAGAAAGAAGGTCATGTGAAGCAGTCAAGCCTATGAGGGCTCCCAAAACCAACGACCGGAACATTCATTCGTTAATTAATTAATAATAATAATTATAAATAATTGATAAAATCATCAGGAATAATCCTCAGCATTCGCTACGGCGCCTCAACGCTGGTCACACGCCTTCGGTCTTCGAAGAGACAGGTGAAGCGAACTGACTGTAGTTTCACGGGGGCCCCCCAAAAAAAGAAGGTTTTTAATCGCGCAAATGTAATGGAAAAATTTTAAAATAAGAACGTCTCTCCCCCCCTCCCCCCCCCACCCCTCTCTCCCTCTCACCCCAGACGGGCTCCTCTTACCATGGCTGCTGCTGGGATGGTGGTGGGATGGTGGTGCTCTGGGGGCCTTGGGCGTCTCAGCTCTGCTCAGCTCTGCTCGGGGGAGAGGGGTGGGGAAGAAGGGGAGGAAGGATTTTCTGCGAACACACACACACAAAAAAAAATGTCGAGACACGCGCAACCGGTCAGTGAGATTCAAATCGCGTCAAACCCCCCGACCCCCACACACACACACTCAAAGGCGTCGGACCCCCCCCCCATACAGAGCGCAACGGGTCGTCGAGGGTTTGGTCTCGCCGTGCGAGGCGGCGGCCACCCCGCTGGCCTGGGTGGGGAGGGCGGATGGCGGCGGATGAAACGGGCTCGAAGCGCGGCCGCCATTACCTGCGTCTCCGGCGCGGACGACGGGCGAAAAAAAAAGGAAGGAGCCCGCCCGACATCCGGGGATTAGGCCAACGGTTCCTACGGGGCCCCCCGAGGGCCCCTCCCAACTGCAACGCAGAACGCGAAAGTCGATACGGAGGGTTTCAGGGCAGCCAACGTTTGGGCTTTCCAATGATGATAATCAATCAATCAATCAATCATCATCATTATCATAATACTGACTGTGATAATTAATAATAATCCTTGCATTGGATACAGCCCCTGGTCGAAGGCGTCTCCAAAGAGCTTCGCGGAATAATAATAATAATAATAATCCTTGCATTTGATATAGCGCTTTTCACGTCACGAGGACGTCCCAAAGCGCTTCACAGAACACACTGTGAAGTGAATTGACTGTATATTTGTGGGCGAACGCGGCAGCCAATTGCGCACAGCAATGTCCCACAAACAGTCGTAGATTGAAAATGACCAATTTTTTTTTATTATTGTTTTTGGTTTTGGAGGGATTATTATTAGGCTCTGTGTGGAGTAAGGAAACTTGCCCAAGGTTTCTCCCTCTGCCTGGAATTGAACTCAGGTCTCTCGCTTGTAAAGCGAGTGCTCTAACCACTGAGCTACAGGACTCCACGGAATACAACGTGAAGCGAAATTTAGAACTGCATATATTTTCGTGGGCGAAACAGGGCAGCGGATCGCGCACGGCAGCGGCCCACCGACGGTCGTGTGTCGAGTGACCAAATTATTATTGTTATGGGTTGGGGGGGGGGGAGGGATTATTACGCCCCGGAAAAGCGAGCCGCCAATCGATTAACATCCGGCTTCCTACTTACTGTTGTGATTGTTGTTATTATTACTATGCGGTGAACAGAGATGTGTAGAGTAAGGAAACTTGCCCCATGTTTCACCCATTGGCACGGAGCTGGGTAGAGAGGATGGTTGAGGATCAACAAGACACCACGGTTCCAGACGGGCTTAGTAAGATGGAGTGCGCCACCATGGATGGTGATGCTATCAGCGCCTGATGTGCGGAGGCGCTGACGGGAGCTAATCAGGAGAGCTTCGGTCTTCTTGATGTTCAAGTGGAGAAAGTCAGCTCTCATCCAGGACTTGATGTCTGACAGACATTCTGTCAGGACAGCAGTGGTCCTGGAGTTAAGGGTGGGGGCAGAGAGGTAGAGTTGTGTGTCATCCGCATACGTGTGGAAGTTGACCCCATGGCTGCGGATGATGTCATCAAGAGGGAGCATATGGATGTTGAAGAGGAGGGGACCAAGGACAGAGCCCTGAGGAACGCCGCACGAGACGATGCGGGGGCTGGAGGAGAAACTGTTTGTGGAGATGAAGTGGAGGTGGTGTGAGAGGTACGATCTGAACCAGTCAAGGACAGAGCCGTGAAGGTTGAGGGGAGAGGAGTGGCGGTGGATGAGGATAGAGTGGTCGATGGTGTCGAAGGCAGCAGAGAGGTCAAGGAGGACGAGGAGGCAGAGGGAGTCCTGGTTGCAGATGGACAGAATGTCATTTGCCACTTTGACCAGGGCTGTTTCTGTGCTATGCTCCAACGAGTGGAAACAGCATCATCAACACAAATCCTTCCTTTAGTCCAGCTACATTGATTTGCACAATGAACTCAGATTAAGGCGCCAAGATGTAATAGGAGAATCTTCAAGCATTGCTTGTTATTATCACCAGATTTTACTGAAGTTATTTTAATGGTACCTCCATCTGGTGGCTGTAAATACTTTTGTTTTTCCCAGCACGTGAAAACAACCGTGTGTTCAATCTTGCTTTCGGATTCAATATTTCAGGAATGTTTCGAAAGGAAGGCAGAGTTCAGTAGTTTGCAACAAATTGAAGTTTCGTTGCAGCATAATGTCCAGGGGCAGGAAGATTGTGATGTGTGTGATTGCTGCTGGGTTGATATTGCTTCAGCGTGACACAAGGAACAATTGTTCACCGCATTGCAATTGAATTTGAGGAGCGGCAGGAAATTAAGTTGAATTTTAACAAGCGAAGAACAAATAGTGGAAAAAGACCATAAAGGATTTTTCAATCTCATGGGCAAACAAGTCATGATCCTGTTCTATATTTGCTAATAACTTTAGACTAGTCTTTAAAGACAATAATATTTCACTTTTATTTGTGGATTGATTAAGAGCAACTTCTCTTGAAACTCCCTTTTTACTTAACTGATGGGATCATTTTCTGAGCCGGTGTTTTGTGATTAGAGAGGTGGCCAGCAGAGGGTGCACACTAATGGACAAGTAATGTAAGGATTGAGGCAGCAGAAGCCAATTCAACAGCCTCGACATCTTCACACAGGGAGAATGTTTCAAATCACTTTACAAAAGCTGCGTGGAAACCTGATTGGGGGCATCGGCAGACAGATTGGTCTTTAAACACGTTTCGAAAATGGAGAGGGAAGAGGCGAGGTGGAGGGATTTGGGTAGAGTTCCAGAGGACAGGGACAGTGGTTGAAAGCTCCTCAGCCAACAGCGGGGCAGAGGCTATGAAGCTTCTGCATCTATAGTGGTGCAAAGGGCATGGAGCCACAGGAAATCACAGCATTAGATTTGGGAAGGTCAAGGAGACTTTTGAAGGTCTCACAAATATACAAATGTAATTGTGTTGTTGTTAAAGTCAATCAGCTGGGGGAGGGCAAGAAATAGGGAGCTGAGCGAGATCGAGGATGATGGGCTCGTGGAGCCTAATTTGGGAGAGAATATGGCTTGCAGAGTTCTGGCTGGTGGAAATTGGGGGTTTGAAACTTATGAGTCCTGGAGGTGACCATGGAGGGTTTGGGCTAGGTTGAGGGGCTGAGGTAGTGGTGATTGGTGGACTTGGTCAGATTTGGGAATGAGGGTTTAACGGTCAAACAAAACACTGGGATATCACTGAAATACAAACAGTGCAAAATATTAGGGATTTAGTGCATTTTCCTATTTGTTTCCTCCAGATCCTGTTTAAAGCACATCCAGATGTGGAAGAGAATCTGGTTATCCAGCAACTAATGTACCATTGATACCAGAAGCCATGGGTGGAGGGGGTCAGAGAAACAGATCATATTGACCAGGTCAGTTAGGTGACTCTTGCATTACTGAAAAGTCTGTGTGAAAGTTCAAGGCAATGAGGTAGTTTACTTTTATACCATTGCAGATTATAATAATGTGCTTAAAAACTAGCAAATTGCATCAGTATTAAATAAATAAAACTAGAGTGCGTCATGATGTGGTCAGTTGGCCTCTAGTATTTGAAACATTCCTTTTAAAGGGTTACAAGGGAGGAGGAGGTAAGAAAGTTGCTGAGTTATTGCGTTGTTATTTTCATCTACAATGTTAATGGTAAACTGCTTGTGCTCATTATGGCTAGAGAAATTAAAGTGAGAAATGAAACGTGTAACTTTTTCTGGCATTTCCTAATAAACCAGGGTCAAGTGAGTCCTGATCAGGATGATATACAGAATGGATTAGATGCAGAATAAATCTCTTTGCTGCCCTAAACGTGCCTTAAACCATTCTTTATACCAGTGGGGCATTTGCATTTTCCACTTTGCAAGAGGTGGGGGGAGGGGGCTGTCAATTTAATACTAAAATCCCACATGCATGAATAATTCAGATGCAATTACCCAAACTCATTTCATAAAGGGCTTGTGCACCCAACAAGTCTGTGTGAAAGTTCAAGGCAATGAATGAGAACTTGCATTCCCTCAAGAGTGGGGTGGATTCAACCCCACGTCAAAAGTTTAGAGGTCAAAGGATAGCCTGCAGGCCTGATGGTATATTGTAGATCAAGATTCAGCTATAAGGATCTGGACCTTGCTGGTTCAAACTCCAGTCCGTGCTGGTTTTACTTGTCTCATGAGGAGGTTCAGTTGGCCCTGTCCTTCCAACAGTTAGCAAGGAAGTTCTGGTCCCTCTATGACATATTTAAGATATAAACTTAAGCTACTTAGAAATTTGCAGGATTGAAAAAGACCCATTAGAGTTAGTCTGCCTGGTGTCATTTTTAAAGTACAATGCCCATCTCATTTTTCCCTATCCAGTCTCCTCTTAAACTCATTTCACATCATACCATCTCTTTCATGTTAAAGCTAAGCTGTTCATGCTCTTCCCCAAGACTAAACCAGAGATGGCACCGGACATTTGGGAATTAGAGGGCACGTGGCAACCGATTTGATAAATAAAAGACTGAATAGATCCCTGCTCTCTGAAACTCCATCCTGGTGTCCCTCCGACTCGCAACGCCCCCACACACCCACTTTCATAGCTCGCTTCTTTGACCACTAGCTGCGTAAAGAGCTTTGAGACTCCATCCCGACGTGGAAAGAGCTATGTGAATGTAAATTGCAGTAAATTGCAGAATGTTAGTAGCACGCGAGCAGGCTGGAAAAGATTAGCTGCATTCAAAGAACTTTCCACACACGAACAAAATCACACACAGCACAGTATTTAGCATAGATGCAGGTAGGAATTGTTTATTTGTTTGATCGTAGCTTTTGGCTGGGGAGGAGAGCAAATCTAACATCCTATTGCATTATGTTGTTATTTTCCTTCATTGATAGCCTCAAAATCCTGTGGAAATAGCCTCAGGGATAAAGTTGAAAACATTTCATTAAATAATGTCAAAAAACACACAAAGGAAGTCTACTTTGTACACGTTTATTGAGCAAAATCTCCCCGCAAACAATGAACCAAAAGTTAAATTACTGTAATAGAGAAAAGTACTAATCTGGACATAACACATTTCTTTTTTATTATTATTATTATCTTAAGGTTGTAGTGTACATTGTGTAGTCTGAGAAGGTCCTTTTAGTTTGAGGGATTTTAGTATTGTGGGAGTCTCAAAAAATAAAGCTCTCAAGGAAAACCTTGTCAGTTTCTACATTCATTTCATTCACAAAACACAAAAATAGAAAGAGTGGACAGTCTATACAATTTAGCACCTCTCTGTTTGGACACAGAGGGGAGGTGGGAGGGGAAAGCATTTCGGAGCTTCACTATACTAACAGGAACTAATTTTTTTTAAACATTTGGCACGATTTTATTTATTGAAAAAAAAGGTTACTAGCAAAATAAGTCAATGTTAAAACTGTACGCATTGTAAAAATGTTTTTAATTTAGTGGTATCCGTCTGTCAAATTGTCTTTCATACGTCACAGTCCAGTACCCAGTCAGACTACTGGTGACCTGTTCTGCCTCGAACATGTACGTTTTCAGCTTAAACCTGCTACAGATTCCTCGGTTATCCCAATCATTTTACAACTTATTTACACAATATTTGACTGGTGCTGCATCTCATTTACAGATGTGTTAAACAATTTAACTGCTGAATTTCTCCTAACTGTTCTGCAAACAGCAGCAACTCCAGAGATTCCTGTTAAGATATGGTCAAAGGGCAAATTGCGCAAGAACAGTCCTCCTGCATTGGTAATGATGTGATGCCATGCAACTGAAAGTACATAGAAAATTAACTCAGAAGCAAGCCTAAACTACCAGCTACCAAAGTGTCCTGGTCTATATGTAATCAAATTACATGTGCTGGATACATTGGCCAGAAGGCACAATCATGATTTCTCTTATCCAGTTTTTAATCCAAATAAAAAGGCTGTGTTTTACTTTATAAAATGTATAATAAGGGCGATCACTGTCTTAAAATTCTGAATACTTGAAAATCGACAACTTTAATTCCAGAATACTACAGCTTTTACTCAAGGAGAATGGGCAGAAAGGCTTATCAAAGTTACGTTTCACACTTCATTTTCATAATGTTTCACATTTAGTGTTGAAGCTATATTATACACACACATACGCATACTGTATCTTTAGACTAAACTGAATCAGCCCATCATCTGGGCTCACATCTCAACCACAAAGATACATGTTGGAGTCAACATGGGGGAGTTCCTCAATAAAAATGCCAACCGTCACAATTCCCATTAAACACAAGTCAGAACAATCTTTGGCTATGTGCACATCTGTCATTTTGAGACCTTCAAAACGCTGATCAAATAAAGCTACTGGAAGAGTAGGCCATTGTTTTTTATACTGTGCCGTTTAAAAGCAGTTAAATGATAGGAGCAGTTCACTTTGTATTCTTTCAATTATAAAACATAGCCTTGTCAACTGGCTCGCCTTTGACCTAGAGTTGAAGAAAGTTCACATGCTGGCTTTTTGTTTTACAAAATTGAAAATTCACATTATAACAAACAGTTGAACGCCATTAATGGTTACGATTCCTAAAAGTGCAACCACTTTCGTTGTTTTGTGTTGATCATTGTAATGGATTATCAGAATTGTTATTAAAAGCACCTAGTTTGTGGGTTGAAAGCGCAAGGTTGAAAAAAACAAGGAATCAAACACTGGAATTACACCAATGGTAATAGTATTCTCTGTCAAGTGTCAGGGGAAGGTCAAAAATCTACAACCTCAACGACCTTGAAGAAATGGGTAGTATTATTCTGGGCAACTTTGACATTTTCAATAAAAAAAAACCTCAAATCTGTAACTTATTCCTCCCCAACACTTTTCTTGTCTATCAAAGTCAGTGATAAAGTAAGGATCCACTTAACAGACCAAATATGGCAAGCAATTCAGATCTCCTGCCCAAGTCATCAAAACAAACACAAGGCCCAATGCCAAATGCACTGTTGGAATATCATTCACTGGTTGGCTCCGATGCTGAGAAGTGGGTGTAATTTAATGGGAGTAAGTTTCAGTTTGCGAGGGTTGCTAAACGTTTGAGTTAAAACAGAACAACACGAGTTAGCACGTTGGCTGGCAAAAGTTCAATATAATAATAAACCTTGCATTTGATATAGGGCTTTTCACATCTTCTAGATGTCTTAATACGCTTCACGGAATAATAATAATCCTTGCATTTGATATAGCGCTTTTCACGTCGGGAGGACGTCCCAAAGCGCTTCACAGAACACACTGTAAAGTGAATTGACTGTATATTTGTGGGTGAAATGCAGTAGCCAATTGCGCACAACAGTGTCCCACAAATAGTTGTGGATTGAAATGACCAATTTATTATTGCTTTTTTTTGAGGGATTATTTAGTTCAATACAGTTTATAGGTTTGATGCACCTTTTAGTTACTGGTTTAATTCAATCCATCTATGAACACAAAGCTTTACTGAGTGGAACAAAAATACCTTTACAGAAGACATAAATCTGACTGTCCCCACAATACCTGGTTAGTTTTTGTGCAATCATCAACACTTTGTAAAGGGTATGTGCGTGCAATTTAATTGTGGTAATACTAATTATTCAATTGGCTTTCTTAACTGTCAGTGACCACCTTGCTGTAGGATTTTTACTGTTTAACCAGAATTGATTTATAATGCTGTATTATATTTGCCAGTACAATGGCTCTAGAGGTATTTAAAGAAAATGTACGAGAGGGAAACACAGAGGAGAGCAAAGGTATTGAAAACTGCAATTAATTGATGAGGTCCATATAATAATAGTAATAATCCTTACATTTTGATATAGTGCCTTATCATGTCATCGAGGCATCTCAAAGTGCTTCACAGGATATATGGCAAAGTGGACTGATTGTGTATTTTGTGGGCAAGACTCGGCGTATGTTGGAATCTTTACCTTCATCTCACTTGATCTTAAGTGTTCGTAAAGAGAAGAAGGAAACTGACGATGTATCTATCCAGTATTACAACCCAAGGTCCCGAGATTTTGAGCTTCAACTTTTTTTTCCTTTCTATTCTAGCATTTGTACATCGGGGTAATTCTGCAGTTAAAAATTACACAAGACCTTGGTAAAGGAAGATAAATCTTAACTGTGCATTCTCCACATTCCTCTAATTCTCTTCTTAACCTTTAAGTAAAATCAAGGAGCCAGCAATTTGTTGGCTTGCACCAAAGTCAATGTGACTTTTAGACAGAGGGCCTCAAGAGTTGTCCCGATGAACAACTGAAATTTAGCTGGGAGAGGAAATACGAGAAGAAAGCAAAAACATACATTAACACCACTTTAACTTGTGTGGTCACTGTGAGCAGCTACACCTAAAAATAACCACTGAAATTCAAAGACTATAACAATAATACACCCAGTGTTGATGTAGAGATTGAATGTTCTAAGAAGCAAATGTGTTCAATATCATGTGGTATCCATTTAATGTGGGTGATTTTCAGAATCTGTGCCACTATCAATGAATTAAATCTGTGAACATCTATGAAGAAATATGTTTGCATTAAAAGAATAAGGTAACAAAAATAGAAGGTAAATTACCATTCCAACATATGCGTTCCATTTATATGAAGGAACCTGGCAGAAAGTGACTGAAGGGGTTAAATCAGTGGATCACGGACTTGAGCATTGGACAATACTAGGCATGGATTGGACTTCCCAGGTCTCAGGTCAGTATCCCTACCCTTTACATTACCAGGTGTGCTATGAGCCACTGTTCATTGAGACAAAGATGACTTGAGCATTCAAAGGAGATACGAGAGCAACAGTATTTTGCAACAATAAACTTAGTGATATTTTAACCCATTTATTTTAAGAAATTTGAGAATGGAGACACGGTGTGGCCCAAGGCCATTTCAGAACATTTAGTTTTAAGTAGTGATCTGACAGAAGCTACTGTGTATTTTAAAAGCTGTGCAAGAATTCTCTCTAATCAACCTGGCTGCAATTGGGCTGCACAAAAGTAGATCAGGCGCAAATAGAGAAAGCCTGCGTTGAGTTTAACGATTAAATAATGTACAGTAGGAGGTGGTGGGGGGTAAGGGACCAATTCAGAGCGCAGCAGCTTTGAACCCTGATTGATACACATAAGGCAGAGAGAGTGTTGGAACAGATACCAGGACAAGCTCATGGATGAACTATCTGACACAAATCAGCCCTTTTGACCTAAAGGTTCAGTCAGATCGCGGGATGGGTGACATCGCTTATTTTTATAAAAAAAAAGGTACTGCAAAGAAACAGTACTCATGTCATGCAAGAATATGAATTGGGGAGGGTGGAGCGGGGGGGGAAAGGAGGGGTAACCTTGGCTGACTGAAAAAAAAATAGCAGCGACTCAGGTAAACAGCTGCGTTTGCTGTTGGTCCGCGTGGAACCGAGAATTTTGGTTACAACCTTCATGACACAATACATTTTTGACCAATCGCTAAAGTCCTCGTGATCGCACTGGCTCCGAGCTGTGGTGTTGAATGTTTTAAGTCAAGTCCCGCAGTACCTAACACCGATCGGAACTGATACGGTAAAATTCCAGAAGAGCCAAGTTCATCTCACGCTCTAACTAGCAATCCTTTGAAAAGAGCGAGTCAATCATCTTGCGCGCAGGTGAAGCCTACACTCGGATTTCATCCTCCTCGTCCATGAAGGCGAAATCCTTCCCGCCTTCGTCCTCTTCCTCTTTGACAGAATCAGTGTATTTAATGCTATCTCCGTCTCCATGAGAAACTCCCTCGTAAACTGACTGCCTTTCCTCCGTAGTGCCAGAGGCCAAACTTGACACGGAGCCAGTGCCCTGGGATAAGTGGCTACCAGAGCCCGGGCTGTAAGTAGCGCTTTTGACGCTGTGCTGCAAAACCAATGGCGAAACTGACGATCCCTCAGCAAATTGCTTCTCGGGGGCCTTCTTATGTGAATCAGCATAGTCATCTGGCCTCTCGTCACCAAAACCAAGGTCAGAGTCATTCTCCCAAGCATCTTTCTCCATAACACTTAGAATATCATTGAGCATGGAAGGGCCAAGGTCAACATGAAAGGACATGATGGACTCGGCGTGCTTTAGTGGAAAGCCACCACTCGAGCGAGATGGAGGGAGATCTGTGAGGTCTCCAAAGTCCCTTTCTTCTTGATAGTCTGCGGATCTGTCAGCCATACTCGTAGCCCCGTTCAAGGGCTTTTCTTCCATCTTGTCGCCAGCAAGCTTCCTCACGGGACTTGACGAAAGACTCTTTGGCAATTGACTACTCGGCTCCACGGACTGATCGTTGAGCTGAGGCAGAGACACTGCGTTTTTCACAAAGGCATCCGAATCGTCGGACACGCTCAGGGTGTCTCGCTTGTCCACCCGGGTCACGGACTGAGATCGCTTGCTGCTGCTCCTGAATTTCCGAGAGAGCAGGCTCGGTTTGGGTTGAGGTTCGACGGAGGCGTCTCCGAACCTGGTGGAGAGGAACGAGGTGTCCCCAAAGACGTCGCCCCCGCGGCCCACGTGCATGGTGTGCCGGAAGTCGCCCAGGGGGGCGCTGATCATATCCGCCGTCAGGTCCACCCGGGATCGGCGCTTGGACTGACTGGAGCTGGCCACAAGCTGCTTCAGGATCGGCATCTTGGAAATATTAGCTCGACGCCACAAAACCAGGGAGATTCAAATAAAAGTTGTTGGGTTTTTTTCGCGCGACTCTTGAATGAACACCTTCAAAGGGTCAAACAGTTCGGAGTATTTTGATACACTCCACAGAACCTGGGATTAATGTGAGCGGCTAGAAATTCCAACAACCGGGAGTCTTGGATCCGACCACAATGCAGAGAACCCAACTGGTGCGGAGTAACTACTTCTGTCCGTTAGGAGTTAGAATATCTTCCATTGCAACCGAAGAGCTACGGGCAACTTCTTTCTCTTGGTGAAATCTCGCTTCAATTTTCGCAGCTGTTAGACGTACCTAAAAGAAAGTAGTTAAAAACAGTTAGTTACATCAAACATCTCTACATTTCATCCGGAGGCAAAACAGTGTCCGTTACAGCCGGTCCTTAACTGTGCAACAACTGGGAAGTCACACACAAAACAAGCTCCCAGTCTCATTAGCTCTTTTCACTGCATTCTGAAACAAAGCCTTGGGTTATGGGAACTGTTTCAGTCACAAAATTTTCACTCACAATCATGCCATTTGGGAATTTCTCACGCACATTCTGGCGACAGCTATGTAAAATCGCCTGTGCACTTTCAAGGATCACAGGCTTCACCAAAAGACCATGGCAGCCAATATTTCATCTGAATTTCAGATGCGACAGATTTCAATAGTGCATAAACCCAGGCCAAATTATTGTTCCCTCAAGGGCAAATACTTGTATTTTAGCAAGCATTCCAACTCCTGATTGTTAACCAGCATCCTCTTTCTCTTCCCCGAACCCTCTCCCCTCAGAAAGTGTGCATCTGTGCGCATCTCTCGATCATGTTTGCATAGTCAACACACCAGCAGCTGATTGTTCACTCTGGGACAGTCCTAACAGGGTGGAACCAGAACCCGCTTCAAATTCAACAGCTTTGTGAGAATTGAGGGCGAAAAAATTTGGAGAAACTCGCCAACAAAAACAAAAAAGTGGCTGAAAGATTTCACAGGAATCCAGCCATAAAGTGCAATACCATCGCAGAATGGGAAAAGCGATCCCACCTCACCAGAACCCTCAGGCAACATGACAACAACAATCACGCCTTTACCAATGAATACAACAGAAATGCAATGCTAACATTTAATCTGCGAGAGCCTTAGTTTAACCAATGCCATTAATTTGCGGTTGGCAAGCGCGCACCGTTTTATTTCCAGGGAAACAAAAGTGTTACTGGAGGCTATCCATGCATTGGCACTTTATTGAACACCACCCTCTGTATTTATTTTTGCGTCAGCCAACGTTTGTGCAATTTTGGAATTTGCTTTTTAACTTAAATGAGGTGTTAAAGTAGAAGCCACCCCCAGAAATTAATGTGAAATTTTAACCACACGAAAAAAAAAACATACTAAACTATCTAGTGGGAGCTTAAAAAAACGTCCCTACAGAATAAGCTGTCTAGAAGATGTTGAGTAAGGCAGTGGTTTTGTAAAGATTTCAAGATATATATATTATATATATACACAAAAAAAACACCTAAAAGAGTGTAGTTGGAGAGTTCAAGGAAAAGCAAATGATCTTTAGTATTATTTAAGACACTACACATCTGTCCGACAACAAAGAAAATTGTGTGCAGTTAGGCCATAAAGCCTTTGGTGCACATATTTCCCCCAATACAGTACTCACCACCACAAAACAATTGAGCATTATATCCATTTCCAAATTGAGAAATGGAAAGAAGAGAAGAAACTGCAAATGGAAACTCTCTTCTCTATCAAGGCAGTCAATAGACTGGTCTGGCCTTTCCTTGCCGTCAGCAGCGAAACTGTGATTTTGGTCTTGGTTAGTTTCAAAAAGGTAACAGAAAAATTCCCCTGAAGAAGCATATTTCCCCATTTATTTCAGTCTCCACAAGATGAGATTCTACTGTACACACCCTGTACATGTTCACCCTGTACATGTTCACTTCATGTGCAATGCAACTCTGTATATGTGTGGAAGCAATTACATTTAAGTCTTTTAAAAAAAAAACAGGAATTTGCTTAGACACCACAGAAGTCTTTCTTGACTTACTTTGATACCAAATACGTTATGGTTCTCCTACAGATGGAAAGGATATTTGAAGAAAAGTACACTTTCGGCTCCTCGCAGATATTCAGCAAATTGAACATAAGTGGATGTGACCCATATTTCAACATGCTGTCTGTCTGACATTTACTCTCCAAGATTAGAATAAAAGATTAAAGAATGGTCCCCTGTGGAAAGCAACAGATGGCTACCGCTACCTATTGAGAAATTCCCAACCTCCCCTCCTGAGACTAAGTCATAAGGTGAGAACATATATGCAGGAAATGGGAAAGGAAGACACAAAAACAGCAAAAATTGGCACAGACAAAACAAAATCGACCGACAATCTGTCACCAGAGATCAATTTTGTCACCTTTTCTCTGAACATGCCTCCTCACGTTGTGGATAAAAACTCATGAATTTCGAAAGCAGTAAATCTTTTGCGTGCAAAGTGCAGTCATTACGGAACATCAACCCCCGAGACACAACTGAATTTTGCTACCAAAGTGATTGATGTAGAACAAACGTCCCTCAACTGATATATAACACCTTACAGTAAAAGTAGGGAATAATTAATATGGAACTTAGAATCTTCAGGAACAAGTTGCCTTGAATTAAACTGATCGTGCCTGCTTTGTTGTCTCATGCCCAGTTCCAACCTACACCAAGGTGGTTACAGGGGTTTCAATCAAACTCCAGCCAGAATTGTTCTCCCCTATAAAGAGAAATGAACCGAAACTTCCCTTCTCATTTCAAATAGTGGAGGGGACGTCTAATGTCCAGCTGAACAGACAAATGGGAACTCATTTTTAAAAGTCTCATCCGAAACTCGCACCTCTGACAATGCAGAGATCCCCCATCACAGTATTAGAGCGTTGGCCTCGACTCTGCAAGTTCAAAGTCCGGAAGTGGGATGTGAACCCACAACCTTCCGACACAGAGGAGCGAAAGTGATTGTTCATAAAAGCAATCTTTTAAGGACCAGGAGAAGCAACTTCAAAAGACCCAACGATAATTCTGGCCGATTCATATTAAATAATACAATAATCCTTGCATTCGGTATAGCGCCTTATCGTGTTTTTGAGACGTCTCAAAGCGCTTCACAGAACATAAGAATGAATTGACTGTACATTTTGTGGACGAAACGTGGCAGCCAATTGCTTACAGCAGTGTCCCACAAACAGTCGTGGATTGAGCAACCAATTTTTTTTGGGGGTACTTGGCTCATTTTAATAATTTCTTTCAGATTCGTTCTTTATATTAGCACGCACCTGGCAAAGGTGCATTCTGTAATGAGTTCGCGATCTAATGCATTGTGCCTGGGATGGGAAATCCACAGGTGTATTACTGTCATTCATACGCACTAATATGAACAGAACTATTGCTAAATAGCAAATTAGACAAGTTCAGACTTTGGCGTAACTCATTATTGTTGTTGATCTCAACACCCCGAGTTGCTATCCCACATGAAGGGCAGTACACAGAAGTTGTTGTTGAAATAATCACCCAGGGAATTATAACCAGTGGATTGGGAATTCCACCCCAACATGTCAACACTTTAAATTTCTAGCAGGGATCATTGCAGTGGGAACACAAGCCCTGATTTTTCTTCTTTCTCTCCCACAGCCCAAAGTCACTGAGCAAATTGCAGCACTGCCTATGCTGCCCTGCTAACTCAAAAGCAGCCCAGAACTGAACTACAGACCCCTTTCTTAATCTGTCACTAAAGACACGACTAACTTTCCAAAATGAATAACTGTGAATAATTCCAACTGATTCAAAACTCTGCTGCCTGTTTACTCACCCGTTCTAAACTCGGTACCCAGTTCACACCAGTCCGCGCTGCTCCACGATTGCATCCACACTTTCAGCTACGATGCCCCGAAATTTTGGACCTCTCTCCATTAATCCCTCTGCCTCGCCCCCTCCTTCCCTTACTCTTAATCTTCCTTACTCTTCAACCATGCTTACAGTCACCTTCTCCCTCCTCGCCCCAGCTCGGCGTCAGGCTCTATCACTCTGAAACACGTGAAGAGCGCTATATAAATTCAAGTTGTTGGGAGAGTTGGTGGTGAGGGTTAAAAAAAGAATCATACAGCTAAACATTTTGACTCAAAACCAAAGCCTGGAATTAGAATACAACCTTCTGGGCACAAAACAAATCCAGACCTAGTTTTGGGCACCATTTCACACCATTTCAAATGATCCAAATGCAGAGCATTTAAAGTTACTAGAAATCTGAAACCAAAACAGAACTGCGATGAAGGGCAATGCCCAAAACATTTTCAGATGTTGCAAGCAATGCTGGGGATTTCCAGCATTCTGTTTTTGATTGAAATGTCTACCATTTCTTTTGAATAGTTTAGATCACTTGTTAAAACGTACAGCATCTTGAGAAACGGCCCAAACCCTCAGCATTTCTTCAAGCCAGTACACAAACACCTGATTAGTCTTTAGATCATGTGTGTGGTCTGTATGTTTTACAATTTTGCTGGAATGCACAATTTGTTCCCCTTTCACAGAACTCACAGTGCGAAAGGACAATCACGTGTACAAACCAAGAGTTTCTCAGTTATCCCAGAGATGGCAACCGCAAACCATTAAACTTAAAGTAATGTCAACTTGTCCAAAATATGTCAGACCTCGAGGTATACATTTTAAGACCTCGCGAATGGATATTTTAGAGAGCACTCAAATTAGAAAGGGATAGGCAACTGTTGCAACCAATTTCTGTTTCGTAAGCCAATCGGACAGCTCAGCTTGCTTTCAAAGTTATTTTTATTTTGGTCACCTGGGTGTCTTGATATACCTAGAAACCGAACACCATCACCCAACAGCATGCTTAAAAGTATCTAAACCAAGACTGAGTTTCACAAATATATGGACTCTTCCCTGTCTGGAATGGAGAGGCAATTCATAGCTGGAGAAACTTAATCCCAGGAAGTATTAGGCACAAATCGGCAAGAGCCATGACCTGGCTAACCCAGAGTGTGCGTTGTGGTACACTGCTTAAACAAATAAAACCACAGTCTCTTGTCATTGTCTTGCCTTCTGCTGCTTGCTTGCCCTGCTAGGACCAACCTACCCACAATGATTTGGGTTGTAGGGTTCACAGAAGTTTAACGCGTTGCTCCCAGTGACTCGATCTGCCCCACCAAATGCTAAGGATGAGCCAGGCTGCCATCGACAGTGTTCGAGTACTGCAGAGCCGTCTGGCTCAGAAACCAGATGAGTTCGATACCTCCGTAGAGGATTGACTCGACTCCCGACATTCCACTGCCAGACATGTCGCCTTGGAGCCAGCTGAGCCCTGAGAAGCGACTCCGCTCGCCATCTATCTCCCCAAGGACGACAGTCGCCAGTTTGATCTTTGCTCGCATTATGATGTGGTGTGCCATTACTCAAGTTTACTTTCTGAAGCCGGTCCTTGCTCGCATGACAAAGAAATTAAAAACAGATGTATGCAAATTCTGATCAATCCCCACATCTGCTTTGCTGTTCACAGAACCACCCCAGTTCTAAGTGCACAGCGGTTGCATAACTCCACATGAAAATGAAAACGACTGCCTGGCAAACCCGGACAGTCAAAACCTATCCTTCTGAAACCCCTGCCTTTTCATTGCACTACATGTTCCCCAATTCCCAGCGAGGCGATGGGGCACCCCCCCCTTTCCAGTTATTTCATCACCTCTTAGCAAAGTTACACTGTACCAGGCAACCTTATCCCAGACCTCTGCCAACAGCCATTTCAAGATGCTGGGAGACCAGTGCCAACCGCTGCCAACCGTTCGTCTCGGAAGGAAAGCTCATAACTCACTCTCCCCTCCCACCCTCCCTCAGTGATATAATTGGGAAAGGAAAGAACCAGGAAAAGGGGGAAGGGAGAACAGGGGCAAAGGAATGGAAAGGTCCACAGGGAGTGCCACCACTTTGTTCACACTTAGCCTTTCAGAAAAGCAGATGCCCAGGTCTGCAATACAGTGCATTAAAAGTACAGGTCAGTGACACAACTGGCAGTCAAGTCGTTTGGCGCAGGTGGGAGCTTGGCAGCAAAGTCTGCCCTGGCACAAACAGAGGGGGAGAAAAAAAGTTAGTGAGGATTGGGAACCTCAGAGAAGTACTAATAATAATAATAATAAGAGAAGGGCTGACTTCAGACCTGCTGCTCGGGCTCATTCGCGCCCTACATCCAGGAAAGGAGTTGCATCCCCTCTCGAACTGATCCGAATTCACTGAATTTAAACAAGCTATCGTCTCACGCACGTCGTGCCCCTCCTGGGCTGTTTCTTTAAACAAAAAGATTTCCTCTATCTCCCTCCATCCCTCCCTCCCCACCACCACCATCCCCTGCGAAATGCAATCACTCCCAGCTCTGCCCCCACCCCCCAAACAAAAAGACAATAAAAAAAAGCATTTCAAGGCTAATGGAGCAATACCAGTGAACCATTGCTGCAAACGGTGCCCATAAGCTTTGTTGGCTGTTAATGGGTGGGGGGGGGAGACTGGAATTAGTGTGGATTCCGGGAGGCAACTCCCAATACAACCATTAAAAGACCAGAGGTAACTCCAGACCACAACTATAGTCTCCCCCACTGTATTTATTGAAACAAAAATACATGTATACACTATCTCCATCTCCGCGCCCCCCCATTCCTTGACTGCAGCAATCAACCCACCCAATACCCCCCCTCTGCTCTCTGTGGCCACACAGTAACCCACCGCAGATCACTCCAATAACTGCAGCCAAAACAGCACACGTTCAAAACCCACCAACTCCTCTTCACCTCAGAGGGGAGAGAGGCGGTTTCTAGAAAATCCCTCTCAACAAAATGTCCTTAGAAGGGAAGGAAATATAATGGGGGGGGAGTGTGGGGGGAGAACCCCACCACCAAACTCTGCAGAGAATCAGATCCTACACCTCCACATCCGGACAGGGGGCAGCAAACTACCGAGAAGGCTGGGGTTGATTCAGCAACACACACACACACCACTCACACACACACAGACACCACTCACACACACACACAGACACCACTCACACACACACACACACACACACAGACACCACTCACACACAGACACACACACAGACACCACTCTCACACACACAGACACCACTCACACACACACACACACAGACACCACTCACACACACACACAGACACCACTCACACACACACACAGACACCACTCACACACACACACACAGACACCACTCACACACACACACACACCACTCACACACACACAGACACCACTCACACACACACACAGACACCACTCTCACACACACAAA